TGTCAAATTGGAGGATTGAATCTATCACAGACTATGGCCAGCAGGATTCAAGCAGAGCAAAATGACATCCACCCGGGAAACGAGCAAGCATCGATTGCCTCACATCGAGAGCCATCGAGTGATTGTCGTTGATCAAGGATGGCATGTGATTCTATCCCGGAGAGAGCGACACATCTTAGTAGTTCTGAGTTCTGAGCCATAAAATCACCATTTGTGATCGTGATCCATGAAGGATCAATTTTCTTGGCCAGAAGTTGCCATTCGCAGTACATTAGAAATTTCTATACAGATGGTTCCAATGTGAACATTTAATCATGGGCCTTGGCAGCTGCTTGTTCTTTGTGACCCGGATCTCTTGTATGCGCTCAGCTTTCAAAGGGGCCAATCATTTTGAGTTGTGCGATCGCCTTTCGGCGAGTTGGAGCTCCTGTACAGCTCGGGGGTCCAGCCATTCTTCTGAGTCGCCACGCAGCTGCATGTGTCGTACTACACAGGGTTGGTTGCAGGGACAATGTACAGCAAACACGGGGTTTGCCGTAAATCCTCCCTGAACCAATTCTGGAATGCTCAAAGCCACAAGGGCGTAAAAATTCGCGGAGCGTGGCAGAATTTTGTCTCTGCAAATGGCGGTTTGAGTGACATGAGGGGCTCCAGCCAAAACTCGAAAGAAATGAGTCGATCGATTTGAGGGCCTCTATCGCAATCAGTTTCCTTCCACTTTCAAAGATTCGGATTTTCGATTCACCAGAGATCGACTGTCTATGCAAAGACTTAAGGTTGGCCCCAGCCACTGGCTGGTTCTTGGGGCGACTCATTGGGTGTCAGGAAGACGCAATTTTCCATGTACACCAACGAGTTTGCGCACTATTTGGGCGGCCTTGACCGCAAGGAGAGGTAGCAAGATAGGACAGGATGCTTAGTAGTCTGGGGTAGCTTCATGATATCTGGATAAATTATGATGGTAAGGGAAATCATCCCCAAAATACCCGAACTTTTCAGGGTTTTACACTATTGAAGATGATGTTCTGGTTGACAAAGTTGACAATGGTAGATTTCCAGCCAATACTGCAGGGTAAAAATCACCAAGGTGGTAAACTCTGAAGATATTCTGCCCTGGATAACCTGGTTACAGAGCGGGACACCCGATGATACTTAACTAACTAAACTATGACACACTGAGTAGCTGTTACATAATGTTACGAATAAAGCACGTGATCACAAGTTCCCGATTCGTGGCTTATCCCATGTATGTATATAATTATATATATATATACACAACATCATACAAGTATATGATATGTAGTGTGTGTATATATATGCATATACATAATTATAGGTGGTTGGGACCGACGATCCCAAACCAACAATGGCAGCAGTGACATGATGATGGACCTTGTCCTCAAGGAAGTAGATTCTAAGTCTCCCAAACCAAGATGGGATAAATGTTAAACCGTAAATGGATCACCAAGAGATTGTCCTGAATCTCACACCAAATGATTTCACCTGGAATTTCAAGGATAGCTTCACCCAAGCGCCCAAACCATCAAGCGCACAGCGCTTTACCTTTTTGCTCACCCGTGGCGGATGCCATGCAGTTCAGAGGCTGCAACATCTCTGACCCCTATTAGACAATCGAAGGCTGGAAACGGGACTCAGGCAAATTCACAATTATATAGATTTAAGTATAGATATAAGTACATATACAGTATACATAATATACATATAGGTATAAATATGCATGCGTAAATAACCTACAACCAGTTCCAGGCTCGCTGGGCCCTGCCCGGTGAAGGATGCCATCCTCTTCGGTGTGGAGACGCACGTCTGCGTGCAACAGACCGCGTTGGATCTCATGGACCGAGGAATTCAGGCCTGGGGATGATGGAACCAGCGGTAACCAGCCCCCAATTTGATGTGTTTTCATACTCATCTATGAAATCAAAGGGAATGTTGATAAACTATTGGATTTAAAGGTGTATATACCTTTTTTTCAGACATCATCTGGAGTTGGGAATGGTATCTGGCCAATAACCATGGAAGTGGGTTGAATGTGTTTAAATCTGGTTCACATAACCAATAAATACTAAAACGTCTTTAAGTGTTTTCACCCAGGACATTTTTTCTTTTGAGAAAAAAACAACCATGGGCCATGACCAAAATAGGAGTTTTCACCAGCAACAATTCTGTCTTGTTTAAGATTTTACACTTTTTGAACTGCAAGAACTGGGGGTTTGTCCCATACAGCCAGTTAGAATATGTTACCATCCCCCAAATGAACATTTCGACCCGAGTGGCTGATGAAGTTGGATGAGTTGGTAGTCAATTCCCAACTCATGGCAGGATGTTAAGTTGGATGGAATTCACAGCCTTTCATGGGCCGGATCTGAAAAAATGGGGGTGGTCTTCCCGGTCATAGCACTGCCATGTTTCTGGCTGATTGTAACCAAGAATGTAACCAAGAATGTCGTTTTATTTTGGCAATACTTCTCTGCGGGTGATTCTTGGTGATCTCTTTGTCATGCCATGTTGGTCACAAGTTTGTGCTGGTCTGCTGCTCAAAATATGCAAAGGAAACCCAAATTTACCTAGGTTGCAGATCCAAAAACCCGAACTCAATAATAACTCAGTGTGTTTTTTTGATGTCAAAGAGATCCCCCAAGACACGATCACGTCCTCCAGCATCGCGAGGTCCATGTGTTGGCAGATGGCGTGTCATCCCAACGGCCCTTGGATCGTGAAATCGCCTTGGATCGTTTGCGACAGGTGTGTTGGCCTCCACGGACTCGTGGGGGTACCTTGATGAAATATAGCATAGCTGGGATGAATATGGATGAATATGGATGAATATGGATGAAAAAGGCTACCAGAACATCACATCAACTGGCGTCGAATGAACGTATTGCACAATATTGCGCTGCTGTTGGAATCCCACATGCGACCTGAAAGCAACACAAACTTTGGATGCCAATGAACCATTGCCGGAGGCAGGCTGCTACGTGACCACCATGGAATCGGTCCTCTTCGAGCTGCTGCGCAGCAAAGATGCGCTGCTCGGAGCGAAAAGGGCCACCTGTTGGAAACATGGTGATCCAGTGGATGATGTGGATGGAATGGTCATTTTTTTTTCATCGAAGGAGGTTTAGAAGTCAAACTTCCGACAATATATGGACACATGAAAAAGCAGAGGTGGGAAGAGTCAGAGAAGAGAAGAGAAGAAGAAAGAAGATCAAAGAAAAGAACGAGTCAGAAGACAGAAGATGCAGGTGCGCGAAAAGGTAGCAAAGTCGCGAAACACTGTGTTTTTCCAATGATTTGTGGCTCCGGAGGGTCGAAAAGTAGGCTCACTAAAGCGGCGGGTGCGGAGCCATCTGGCCAGATGAGAGATGAAAAATTGCACGCCGTTTTGGCGCGATGCAAATTTTCAAGTCAAAATGTATTCGGACCACTTTTGGAAGTTGAGACGTTGAAAAAGTGCACGCCGTTGTGGCGCGAAGCACACTTTGAAGTCAAAATGTACAAAACACACCAACATCGAACCACTTTTGGAAGTTGAGATGTCGAAAAAGTGCACGCCGTTGTGGCGCGAAGCACATTCCGAAGTCAAAACGTACAAAGCACAGCATGCTCAGAGCACTTTTGGGAGTTGAGATGTCGAAAGCACATTTGGAAGTGAAAAGTGTAAAAAAACTGACAGTCTCGGACCACTTTTGAAAGTTAGGACGTGGTTTTGCGTGGCATGCGCAAGGGATTCGGCACCTTGCCAAAAGTGCGTAAAACGTGAGGGTTTGTAGCAGTTTCAAAAACGCTGGCAGTCGTGGGACATTTGAAGAGGATCTGCAAAGATGCATTTCGCGTGGCAGGCGCAATACAAGAGACATGTTCACCAGAGATGTTAGGAGGTCAGGGCGGAGATTTCCTGAGAGGGGTTACCGGGTTGCATTTTGGAGCGTCAGGTCTTCAGGTTTGCTAAGATGATTTTGTGTGACAGGTGCAGGGCTTCGTATGACCTGGCCTCACCTTTTCGTGGCAGGCGCAGTACTTCGATGGAATGGAAAAATCGCAAAAAGCATTGGTACGAGGCCGTCATCTTTGCTCTCAGTTTTCCATTTTTGAAGGAAGTCTCGCAGATTTCTTTCGTTTTTGATGTCTTGAACTTCGAAAAATGAGGAAGTCTCGCAGAATTGCTTCGTTTCGGATATTGTCAAGTTCAAAAAATGAAGACGTCTCGCAGAATAGCTTTGTTTTCAAGCTTGCAGAAAGACAGACAGAGAGAGAATGAGAGAGAGAGAGAGATAGCTAGCTAGATAGATAGATATAGATAGATAAAAAGATAGATAAAAAGATAGATAGCTAGATAGATAGATAGGTAGATAGATAGATAGATAGATAGAGATAGATGGATAGATAGATAGATAGATAGAAAGATAGATAGATAGATAGATTGATAGATAGATAGATAGACAACTACAACGGCAACTGCAACTACAAGTACAACCACACGACGCTACCACTACAACTACAAATGCAAACACAAACATATTACGCTACAGTGCGCTAATTACACCACGCTACACTAATTACACTACACTACACTAAGGAGGGCTATTTATTTTTGTTTTTTTTTTCGCGGCAGGTTTTGTTTTTTTTTTTGGGTTCCTGGTTCTATGCTTTCCTGTTTCTCTGAGTTTCTGCTTTTCTGCTTTTCTTCTTTTCTGCTTCTCTGCTTTTCTGCTTCTCTGCTTTTCCTGCTTCTCTGCTTTTCTGCTTTTTGTTTTCCCTGCTTCTCTGCTTCTGCTTTTCCTGCTTTCCTGCTTTTCTGCTTTTTGCTTTTCCTGCTTCTTTGCTTTTCTGCTTCTCTGTTTTCCCTGCTTCTCTGCTTTTGTACTTATGTGCCTTTCTACTTCTACTATTCTACTTTTTCTTTTCTTCAGTCATGTGTTTTTGCTGCTCCACTTCCTGCTCCTTTGCTTCTTTGCTTCCTGTCTTTACTGTCTCTTTGTTTTTCATTCTCTTTTGTTTTTTCTGCTCTGTTTGTATGCTAAATGAAACCCTAGAGAGACCCTAGGTGAAACCCAAAGAAACCCTAAAGAAATCCTGATAGGAAACCCTACATGAAACCCGAGATGAACCCTAAAGAAACCATAAATGAACCCTGAAGAAACCATAAATTAATCCTAAAGAAACCATAAATGAAACCCTAAAACAATTTTAAATGACACCTTAAATGACATCTCAAAGAACCCCTAAACAACACTCTGAAAAAAAATGAAATGAAACCTTAACTGACACCTTTGCTGACACCCTAAATTGACACCCTAAAGAAAAGTTAAATGAAACCCTAAAGAAACCCTAAATGAAACCCTAAAGAAACCCCAAATGAAACTCTAAATGAAACCCTAAAGAAATTCTAAATGAGACCCTAAAGAAACCCCAAATTAAACTCTAAATGAAACCCTAACAAAAATTCTCAATGAGACCCTAAATGAAACCCCAACTGAAACCCTAAATAAACCCTAAATGAAACCCTAAATGAAACCCTAAACGGGACCCTAAAGAAACCCTAAAGAAACCCTAAATGAAACCTTAAATGACACCCTAAATGAAATCCTAAAGGAACTCTAAGGGAACCCACTCGAACGTTTAGAAATCGTGAGAAGAAATCCTGATAAGAAACCCTGGAATGAAGCCCTAAAGAAAGCTTAAATGAAACCCTAAATGAAACCTTAGAGAAACCCTAAAAAAATTCTCAATGAAACCCTAAAGAAACTCTAAATGAGACCCTAAATGAAACCCCAACTGAAACCCAAAATAAACCCTAAATGAAACCCTAAATGAAACCCTAAACGAGACCCTAAAGAAACCCTAAAGAAACCCTAAATGAACCCCTAGAGAAGCCGTAAAGAAACCCATTTGAACGTTTAGAACTCCTGATAAGAAACCCTGATAAACCGGAAAAAAACCCTAAATGGAACTCTAAAGAAACCCGAACCCTAAAGAAACCCTTAATGAAACCCTAAATGAAATCGTAAAGAAATCTTCAATGAAACCATAAATGAAGCCCGAAAAAAAAAAAAGGTAAATGAAACCCTAAATCAAACCCCAAATAAAACCCTAAATAAAACCCTAAATGAAACCCTTAATGAAACTTCAAATGAAACCCTAAATGAAAGCCTAAAGAACCCTCAAGAGACCCACATGAACGTTTGAAGCACCAAAATGTAGCAAATACCATGCAAATGAAAGGTTGGAATGCCAAAATATGACAAATACCATGCAAAATGGAAGGCAAATATGGCCAAATGTAGCAAATACCATGCAAAATGCAAAGTTACCATGCCAAAATGTAGCAAATACCATGCAAAATGACAGGTTCTAGTTCCAAACTGTTGCAAATACAAGGCGAATGGCACCGGGAAAGAACTCCAAAAAAAAAATCGAAAACCTAAGGCAAAAAAAACAAAAACTATTCTACACCCCTACACTAATTACACTACACTACGCCAATTACAGTACACTACACTAACTACACTACATTACACCAATGAGACTGCAGTACGCTGCAGCTACAACGCTACAACTGCAAACACAACTACACTGCATTACACAACACTACCCCACACTAAATACAGTACATTACACTGCAACTACAAATACAACGACAACTACCAATGCACTACACTACACTACACTTCATTGCAGGGCACTACTTTACACTACACTACACTAATTACATTACATTACACTACATTGCATTGCTTTGCATTACATTACATTATGCTACGCTACAACTACAACTACAACTACCACTACCACTACCACTACATTACACTACATTACACTACACTACGCTACACTAATTAATCACTCTACACTACAGTACACTACAACTACAACTACACTACTTTACATTACACTACACTGGACGACGCTACACTATACCAGACTACAGTACACAACACTACACCACACCTACACCACACTACACTAATTACACCACACCACAACTACATCTGCAACTACACTACACTAATTACACTACATTGCAACTACGATTCCACTACACTACAACGACAGCTGCGCTACACCACACTACATCCAGCAGTTGTGGGTGAGGTGACCACTGCAACCATTGCAGCCACTCCAACAAACACAACTCCAACCACCTTTCGGTCCATCAGTGGATTCGCTCTGCCATCCATGCATCACAACAACCAAGCTCTCCTATAGGTTTCCTATCTTTGAAACTTCTGCCGCCGCCTTGTACGTAAACCCTGGTAATTTTCTTCCACGCAAAGCTAGCTATGCCAGACTTTGGTGGGGAATATGATGATTAACTGATTATTTTTTTTGTCCGGAGTTTCTTCATTAGAGAAAGACATAACATTTGTTTGGGAATACAATACTACGAGAAGTAAACTTATTTGGACAACACTATAATAGTAGTTCCAACGATTCGGTTTGGGAATTGACTTGTTTTTTCCATGACCCTGAGAATTTGCTTGTTACTATGGTAATTATAGTTCTGGTAAAAGTCGTGGTACTCTGATCGTAATTGCGATGTCTCCGTCAAGTTGTGGTTGAACCGCCGAAGCTAGCGGATGGTTTGGTATGTTTTTGGTGAATATACATTTGGGTAAGAAAAAATCATCCCATGAAAAACCATTAAAAACTACAGAAATCATCCAACTTGGTGAATGCTTGACCATTGGATGGTGAATTCCTAAGATCTGGATCCCAAACATGTGGCCAGATGAGACAGGACTTTCGGGATTGGTCTCAATCCTTCACCCTCAGGCAAACACATGTGTTGCAACATTTCAAGTTCCTGCTTTTGTAGATTTGTCCTGTCTTTTCAAACCTGGTTTTGGCCATCCCAAATCACCAGAGGTTAGCCCGTGGCATCAACAATTTTCCCATGCCACTGAGGCCGGAGTTCAAAGCCATCTCTGGAATTGTGAAGGCTTATGGCGAAAACCTCAAGAATTTGAAACCCTCTGTGGGGGAGGTGCCGCACGAGTTGTCTTGTTTTTTTTGAATGTAAGTTGACGCAAATCTGTGACAGGGCTTTACCATGTGACACGGGCCCACCAATCAGCTCTTCGGGTCACCCGGTGAGGCAGCGCTTTGAGGGACACAAGACGCCTTGGTTTCAAAAAAGGGGCAGCCGAGTCTCATGCGCAGCTGACTTGGGGCTTGGTGGCATGGAATGACACGGATCTGGTGGTTTCATATTTTTTTTTCCCGGTAAATTTGGGGATAATCGAACAAAAAACAACAATATTTTTCATGGGTGTCAGGGTGACAGTCGGCAAGTCTAGCCTTTGATGGTCCGGCCCTGGATGGTCATACCTATCATAGAACTGCAAAAACTGAGATTCACCAACCAGTCATGAACTGTGGTTTAAGCTTGGCTTCTTAACTTTGGAAATAGATTTCCTATAGAAATGAAACATTTTTTTAAAAAATTAGTATCTAAGATTGACCAGATGTGGCAGGTGACAGTTGGTGTGGAGTTCGGCTCACGCACAGTGGACGTCAATGGGTGTGGGTCCCAGGAGACTCTCAGGAGTCCTCAGGGTTTGGTAGATGGTTGGTGGCTGGTTGGTGGTGCAAATATGCTAAAAGTGGATTTTTTCTGCAGTGCAAGCACGCGTTCAGGTCGAGGATCAAACTTCAGTGTTGGGACACTGCTGGCCAGGACTGGGCTGCGACCATGGGCTAAAATGGATGGCTTGAAACTCCAATGACTCGGTGTGAGGATCGTTTCCGCTCCATTATCCGCAGCTACTACCGGGGTGCAGCTGGAATGCTACTAGTCCCGCTGGCCTGTTTTCATCAGCTGTGATGCACCTGTGCCTCAAAATTGCTGAAGCCCGGGCATTTTCAGCAAACTGTTGGTGAGTTGGTGGTCCTTTGATGCCACATCCTTTTTTCGCAGTGTCGATCAGCCGACCGCGGCCAGGTGTACGACATTAGTCAGCAGCGTGCTCAGCTGTTTGGGCGAAGTTGTAAGTTTCCAATGTTTGCCAATGGTTTCCAATGGTTTCCAACAAGATCCAAAAGTGTGTTTTGAAGAAACAATAAGTCACAATTTATATACCCTCTGGTAAACTAACATAACTATGGAAAATCATCATTTTTAATGGGAAAATCCACTATAAATGGTCATTTTCAATGGCTATGTTAGTCATTACCAGAGGGTAATACTACCTTCCCCAAATTGGCATACCCTGCCATGAGTCGGGGGTTGGAAGATGAGTTTCCTCTAAAAATTGGCAAACATTTTGGGATCTATGTCACATAACCAGAGGGCACACCATTTTACAATTATCAACAGAAATGTCACATTTTGTAACCATTTAATCCATTTAATAGCTGGTAAACCATGTTGGTCTGAAACGGTTTGCCATTTTTTACCAGATATTACACGGTCAAATATTTTCAGCTGGCATTCCTTCACCTGGTCCGACCGCCCCGAAGACGACTTTCGGCTCGAAGTGCGCAGCCGGGCGCTGTGCAGCGCAGATGGGAGTGTGCCTTGGGATGCCTTGGGGGGGTTTCCTACGGGGGTAACCCTATAGCTGGATGGTCATTGGACAATCCCTTGAAAATGGATGCCTGGGGGTACCCCCATTTAGGAAACCTCCTAATATCATTTTTGAGGAATGGGAAATTAGAGAGCCAAATGATGCCAAATGTACTACGACACAAATGTCCAAGATGGATGAATGGGATGACAGTCCGTCTCCGGTGTGGGGAGTGGGACGCTAGAATCAATATGCATCAATGTGAATCAACATGAAGCAATCATACTCAATCATACTATCTCTATATATATATTTATAGAGTACTATAGAGTCCATCCTAGGAGCCGGGACACCGTTCTGTCTTTGAGATACACTTATGAAACAATCATCATTATCCGTATGAAACATAGCCATGAATAGCCATAAATACCCATAAATAGCCATAAATAGCCATAAATAGCCATAAATCAATAGGCATCAAATAATACCCCATTGTCAATCACAGCCACATATCTTGTCAATCTCAGGGGTGACAACGACGCCGTGTCGCTGGAGCGCTTGCGGGAGAGTCCCCCGTGACTTGGGGCCAAAATGGTGTATGGTGAATATATATCATGGTTAATCTATGATGGTTAATCTGTGTTAATCTATGATGGTTAATATGGAGGTGTCCTAAGTCATGGGGGTACCCCAAAATCATCCAGTCGTCATGGATGACCATGACTTACTCGTAGTATTGAAACCCATGGTGACGACTGGGGATCCACCATTGTAAGGCAACGCCGTCCTGGGTCGGTGAGGTCATGGAGTGGTGAAACCAATCGCAACATCCCAACTCCGAAGAGGAAAAACCCATCCGAAATGACTTTCTCTGAAAATAGGGTACCCCCAAATCCTATTTCTGATGTTTGTTGATGATCATTTTCCCATAAACATTGCCACAATTTTCCGGTCAATTCCCTGATATTCGTTCTATCCTGGCACTCCGTTGCTGAGGGCTGGCGCCATGCCCACTTTCCAGGGCGGCAGCCAGGCGCCAACCGATATCACACTGCCTGAAGTCGGTCGGGAGAAGAGTTGACTACTCATCCACCAACCTATGTTGACATCTTCTCCTAAGCATAGCAGTCCCATCCCAACTTGAAGTAAGGACCCCTTGAGCCAATAGTGCGCCACCCAACCTAGGCACTTTAGGAATCCAAACTTGGGCTGAGCCAGGCTGAGCCATTAGCCGCTGTACCAATCTACCAATTTGCCAAGAATAATTACCTGATTTTCCTTGCCTACTTACTCAATTGACAATTATGTTCCACTCATTTACATTCATTTACTAAACCTTGAAGCGTCTCACAACAGGAGGAGGCTCTGGTGGGGGTGGCACAAAGATGTACCTTAGACGAGCCGGTCTCGGAGCACCAAGCCTCAGATTGGGCTGGGCCAGGAGGCACCAAGATCATGTCGGATATGTTCCTCCTGGCATGAATCCAAGGGATTGAGAAGCTGGTTCCTTGAAACACCCTGGCATGTTTTTTTTTTTCGCGAACTTCAAGATACTTGCAGTCCCTAATGTTCGCCATGGATTACCTGATGCCTTGCCGTCTTGTTGTGTCTGAGAAAAGTGGTATGTACATTATAATATCAACACATGACGAACATGTTACACATTACACGCGTACATACTTTTTTTGCCTCTCTCTCTCTCTCTTCCTATTTAATAGTGTATTTGTACATTTACATCTACGTGTAAATGTAGATGTACTGTATAATGATGTATAATGATGTATAATGATGTATAATGATGTATAATGATGTATAATGATGTATAATGATGTATGATGATGTATAATGATGTATGATGATGTATAATGATGTATAATGATGTATAATGATGTATAATGATGTATAATGATGATATAATGATGTATAATAGATAAATTATAGATAATGATATATGTAGATGCAGATGCATATTAGCCGATATTTCTATACCCCATGGCCCCATCGATCAGCCTGTGGCAGATGTCACCTTTGAGGACCATCATGAGAGATCTGCGCTCGGTGGCGCAAAAACTCATGTGCCTTGAGCTTCCCTGAATTTTCCGGGGAAGAATCGGGGGATTGAGAAACTGGATTACTTCCCATATGGGTAACCCATCGGGCATTATTTTTCATATGGTATCGCTGGATTTGATTTGATTTCGTAGTTTTTTTTTGATGAGTTGCTTTGAGATATGCTGAGGGGACGATTTTTGGATTTTTGGGGCCCAAAACAACATGTTGGGCACATCGGCATTGGCTCTTTCAAGGGGGAAGGATTTTGGTAAAAAAGAACTGGTGTTTTGGAAGACCTGTCCAGTGTTTTGCCGGGTTTTCATGATATTGATTCCAATCACTCTGTTTTATGGTCATTGCTTGGTATTGCTTGGTTTCACGTCCCCATTTTGGGTTGTTCTTTGGGCCGAGGTATGTGATGATGCCAGTGAACGTTGCGGATAGAGGCTGGGGCAGCAGATGAGCGACTCTGTGGATCCTTGAAGGAAGCAGTTACTAGCAACGAGCTGCACCTTGGGGTCCTCAAACAAAACCCCCAAAAGAGTCCACACCTAGAATATGGAAATGTCAAACATCGTCAAATAGTCACTAAAATGGGAATCCGGAATACGGTTGACATTTCCATATTCCATATAATTTAGGATGATTAAAACATTACATCTATGTATATATATATATATACACACAAAGTTCAGGTTTAACTCCCAATCTTGAAGTGTTACACTTCCCAATTGTCTCAGGGTCCCAGTTTCGCTCGTCGTCGCCAGGGCGGCGCTTGAGAGATTGGGATCTTTGGGGTCCTCTGCTGCTGTGCTTGGCACTGGGGCTCATCTTGTCCTGGCAGGCGAGCTCCGAATCCGCCCAGTTGGTGAACAGTGAATTCTATGGTGAACGACGAGCCCAATGGTTTATGAATGTTTCTCATAGATAGATATAATCTGTATATATTTATAAACTGTATACATATATATATATGAATATATATATATATATCGCCGTAATTAGTGGGGTTTATAAAACCAACCTCCGTCACCAGCGGCACCGGGGATCTGGAGAACCACTTAGGATGACCCAAGAAAGCAGTGCCATGAATTTCAGCCCCCATCATTTTTTCTGTTGATATCACCAGTATTGTGGGAGCCCCTCACTATTTTTGGTTAACTCACTATTGGGCGATTTCGTGATAACTGCCATCTATTCTTGGTTGCTATATCTGCACAGTGCATGTAGATATGTTATGTCTAAGTCATCACACCGTGTATTGTGGTTATAGAATGCCGACTCCTGGTATGCGCATCCTTCGCCGAAGGCAGCTGACTCGACACAGGCGCGCAATCCCCCAGAAAAAATGGCAAAAGGGGATGCTGGGACATCCCAAGGGTTTATGTTGGTTGTTATGTTTTTTTTATGTTGTTGTTCCATGGTTCTTCCTTACTGTTGATGTTTTTTGGCTTGGGAATTTTGGGACAACTTTGCGCCGAACTTTCATTGATTGTTTGGTTTGAATGAGGGGAGGATTTTTTGTTGCTTCTCTCTTTCTCGTTTCATTTAGAGGTCGTTATTGTGAGTGTTTGTCTTGCTTATCTACCATCTATCTACTTTGGGTCCTTGACACGTTTGCTTCGCCCACTTCGCCCTCGACATCTTCTTCGAACCTGTCTAGCGCACATCCCACACACACATATACCAAAAACAACATATATATATATATATTATGACCATGACAATTCATCATACCCTAGTAGCTCCACACCCAAAGGATGACCGCAGGTTTCACGACGGCCTGGAAGAACCGTTGGATTGGGGCCGGCTGGAGGGATAGATTTCGGTTGTTTAAATTTTGGCATGATGCAACCAAAATTGTTGATTATTTTTTTTCCCACAGGCAACGCCTCTCAAACCTTACCCCATTGTTTGGCAGGAACCGCTTGTCAACAAGTGCCCTAAACTGTTTTTTTTTCCTGAAACCCGGCTCACGACCTTTTAGGACACCTCATTTCTTGAAACCATACGTCCCCAGAAACACTCTTGCGGACATATCATTTTTTGCAATTTTGCCCAGAAATGCTTAAAGACAACCCACCTTATGTACCGTAATTAATTCTGAATTGATGCCCTTTTATTTGATCATTGATGGAAAAAAACAAGAAAGGGATGAGGACATCTTTGACCAGATGGTTGAATCACTCAATCAACCGACAGTCCAAGAACCCCCATTCCCAACATCCACCAGACGGAGACCTGACGGGACTTATGACAGCAAACCGTTGGACCCCGAATGTTTTTCTAAATACTATAAAAAAAAATATCGACACCATTCAAGTGTCCGGACTGCGGACGCACCATTTCGTCCAAATCCAATTTATTCAAACATCGCCAAACCAACATTTGTATGAGGAAAAAATGCAAGTGTTGAAAGGTACTTCAAAACACCTTATGATACCTTTCGTTCAAAGGATTTTTCACTCATTTTTGCTCAATAACAATCATTTTTATAGAGACAGTTTTTTTGTTGATCTCCAACCCCAGTCCCAGAAATTCCAACAGGCAGCCTATGCCCAAAATCTACTCAAAGATTTGCCACCTAATAGGGTAAGGAGTTAATGGCAGAGGATACAAGGTTGAAACATTCAACAGAAAGGTTTTATCTAAAAGTTAATCCGACAACCAATCCAATCAACCCCAACATCAACAAACAATTCACATGGAAAAAACTACAGAAAAGAAACATCCACTAATGATATAGAATATACTGTAATGGACGATAGTGGACGCTTACCAGCAGATTGTTGTTTTAGATTATGGAAGGGAACTCAAGAAACTCCCGGGGAGGTGTATATCTTTGAGGGGAAACCCATCTCAAAAAGGTTGACCAAATTTAACAAAATCAAACAGACTATGGAATACAAAAGCTATGAACTGAAGGAAAAGAGGGATTAGATGGGTCAATCTTGACAAGAACAACGCACTCACAGGTATTCAAATGAGATACAAAGCAACCACCACCAACGTCTGCTTTCAAGGGTTATGTTAATTCATATGCCGTCACCAACATCAGGGTGAGAGGCATCAAGGCACTACAGTATCTAAAATACCAAGGTTTGAGATTGAAAGAGAATTTGAGAAAACATATTGGAATGTAAGTCATTCTACAGGTCTTTGCCACTTTGAAGAGCAAAAAGACCAATGAAGATGTAAGACAAGTCATACATAGTAGAAGATACAAAATTTCCAACGAAGGTGAAATACCCAAGGTTTTGAGCAAGATGGCCACTGATGTCAGGTGATGGAAGCGTCGGAGAGTGGATTGGTCATAACCCAGATTGATAAACTGAAAAGTTCAACTATGATAGATATAATCCAACACGTCGGGGTAAATTCATTCCACTACCTAAATGGGTTTCAAACAAGAAAGCCTGTATCAACTTCAAAAATCAAGATGAGAAGTGTTTCAAGTATTCCGTTCAATGCGGTATATGTAAGGTTTATGAAAAAGAGCACCCTGAAAGAGGGTCTCATTACAAAAGTCTCAATGATGAATTGAACTGGGATAATTTCAATTTTCCGTCATCAGATGTTGATATGGATACATTTGAAGAGAACAACGGAGGTAAAGTAGCAGTCAATGTTTATTTTATTGACCCCGAAGAAGGGAAACAATCCATCCTACTTTACAGACAGACCAAGGTTCAAAGAGCAACTCATCAAATCAGTCTTTTAAAACTGGAGGATGGGGATGATTACCATTATGTATTCATCAAAGACTATGACAAGTTGATAGGATGCCAAACCAACAAACACAAAGCAAAACAACTTCATTGTTTTCACTGCCGACACGGTTTTCAATCGCAGGAACTTTTAGATGAACATAATGAAAAGGGATGTATGGCAGTTGAAGGACAACAGATACAAATGCCTACAATATATAATTTATAATATATTAATATTATATAATTCTATATGATATATGATATATTATATATGACATATGTTTTCTCACATATAATATATTATATAAGATATATGATATATAATACATCATATACAATACATAATATATAATATACAATATATAATATACAATATATAATCTATAACATACCATATATATATATATGGATGATTAAAAATATTTCTATAACATATGATATATAATTTATAATTCAATGTATACATATGACAATTCTTTTTGCCAATTTTATGGTCAGATGAACTAACCAGCTGAAAAAGTGACTTTTGTTGCGATTAGTATCTAAGATTAAGAAACCCATGTCCACTATTCATTGGTGAACGAGTTAAGCCCCTATTTGTTGATGATTAGACGCCCGTGAAAACCAGGAATGATTGAATGGATTGGTTTCAGGTTTTTCGTTCAGGAAACTCCTAGATTTCATGGGAAAAAAACCGTGACTTCTTGCAGATTTTCCTCTAAACCCATGCGTCGAATCATGGGGCGAGGCCAGTTATGCCTTCGCGGACATCTTCGTGACGGTCTGGGTGGGCTCTGGTGTGGTCACCCTCAATGCGGTGCTGCTGCGAGGGAAGGCGCGCGGCTCACGAGGTGGCTTTTTGGCAAGTCGTAGGTTGGAACCCCCCCAAAATCCAATGGGTTAAGACATCATTTTCCCAAAATTGAAATGGGGATAGGTTCAAACTGATGAACTACATTGGTTAAATTAAAAATCCCGATGGTATTGGGATTACACATTGTATATTTGGGGAGTATCCATAAATCACAGGCATTTTGATGTGAACTATTGGGTGCCAGGGGCGAAGCGTAGCCTTCTCGGGCAGGTCTCGTTCTTCCAGACTGTCTGCGTCTTGGGTGCCTATTCCAAAAGATATGGGTCCGGCTGGGTCCAGGTCAAAATTATTGGCCCAAAAAATATCTGCATGAATGCCCTACTTTTGACAGTAAATGCTAGAGAAAGCTCATGTTTTAGCGCTAGAAAGAACCAACTTTGCCCTACTTTGGTGCCAAAACTGAATGTGGAAGCTTCTGCCCAGGGGAGCAATGTCTTTACAGGTGAACCATCTTCAGGTGATGGTGAACCTCCCAACCGTATTGGGGGATGGGAATCATCAATCCATAGGGATTGCATGATGACGATACCACATATTCACCATGAAACTTGACCACATATATCTTGGTAATCATGGTTAGTAAGGGAAATCATCCGCAAATGGCCTTAATTCAGGTTAGTGAATTATTATAATTTACCCAGATATATAATGTTGTTGGTTATATATATCCGATATCTCATCAAATATCCCAATGCTTGGTCAAAAACAAGCATTGAACTTTGTTGGTTAAATCCCCTCATACCAAGAACTGGGAGGTAGCATGTACGTATATATATCATCATATTACTGTGTCATCCATACATCCATTAAATATCAATTATTGATAACTATATATTAAATCTCCATACATCTCCATATTATACATACATATACATACATATATATATATATAATATATATATCCCATTATATATATACTGCTGCGAGTCAAAATGTATAGCCCCATCCATACCCTGAACCCACACCGATCCATACGTCCGGTTCACCGCCAGTCGATCCATACCCGAATTTTCAAGCAACCGCTAATAAATATATATATATCTCCCATGTTCTATCCCAATTCTGAGGTTACTGCATATTTCCGCTGGTTCTCTCCGCCTTTTGCTCCATGCTGCTGCACATCGATTGGCTGAAGGTGCGAGCGACGCGACGCTGTCCCCCATGGGGCGATGGCTGTGTTTGAACCTGGGAATAGCCATCAAATGGCAGTTGTTTTAGAGGAAAAAACCTGCTTTAAACCATGACAAATGACATTTGGAATAAAAACCCCATGTTTCAGACGACAACCCCTTTTTGATGTTTTCGACATGATGGGTTTTTTCCATGGGTTTTCGAAGGACATCAGTGGGGGGATGACCAGAAATGATCCATGGTTGGGGGTCTGTTTTGGTTGATATGATTGGAGATCATAGATATTCTAAACATATTTATAATCATCAGCACTTGGGGAGACCATAGATATACAGTATGTTGAATAATCCATTTACTGCCATGTAATCCATCATATTCTCTGTGTACTCGTTTTGTGGGGATCTTCTGCAGTGAGACAAGCCATTCTGTGGCATGGCTTTACCTGACATTCCGCGGATCATCTGCTTAGATGGGCCATTTGTCTTGGTCAGTAACTGGGTTATAAATCACCCAAAGAAACAATGATGATCCGTTTGGTAAATATGTACTAGTTATATAACTCTATATATAACTATATATATATACTATATATAAATATACTAGTTATATAACTAGATATTTTCCCTCGTTGCCCAGTTGCTGTTTGTGCTCGCTGGCTTGGGATGGTCTGCGAAGGCGGACCTGTGAGACCGGCGAAACTGGATCATTCATTGTTCTATGGGTCAGAAGCCATCATTTCCCATGGAATTTTCTGGGAATTGGATGTTTTTTTTTTGTGTTTCAATGTGGTCTGATACTTTCAGACGTCTAAGAGCAACATGTGTGGTTTAAACATGGCTCTTAAGTTTTGATTTGTGCAAGATATTTTGGTTTGAAACCTGCACTTTCTGAAACTGGCGTTTGGACAAGGCTTTCCTCCAGAAAGCACATGTAGCAACCCCAACGTTAGATGAGTAAATTTCTAGATTCTACACTAATAATGTACCAAATCGCTCTTCGTTTTTTTTTTTTTTTTTCTGGGGGTTGCTATGTGTATATTGATGATATATGTATATATATATATGTATAACTCATAGTTGTATACATTATACATATATATATAGTTATATATATACATACATTTATAGTTATGTATTAGTTATATATATATATCTATAATATAGATTTTCTTCAGCAGGCGGTGCAAATAATCGCCAACGCCGCAGGCTTCGCTAGGCTTCGTCACCGAATTGGTACCCGAGGAGATTGATGGTGGATCCTATTGAACTGTGCTTTTTGGCAAGTTTCGGTTGCCATGGAACACAGAGTCATGCAGAGTCCTGAACTTCTATAGCCTGTTTGTTCATGTGAAACCATCACCATTTTTCTGGCTAAACATCCAATTCTTAGTGATTCTAACAACGAGTTCCCAGTGGCCTTGGAGGACAAGAAGCTCTTGGGGATCTATCCGGTCTGGCTCTTCTATTGCGCAATTGCTTGGATGATCCTTTTGGCATGACATAGATGACACAGGCCGGCGACAAGGGGCCACAAGGGGTGGCTTCCCAAGAACCATTTCACTGGACTTTTGAAGTACTACAATGGGTAATTACTACAACTCCAAAGACTTGACGATCAGATCCCATCAGAAACTGCCAGATGTGATTTGTTCAGGTCATCTGAGACAGCGGTTGGAGCACAGCGGACTCCTGCCGTGCAGTGCAGTGGTTAATGACTGGAGTGAAAACGGGGTCACAGCCTCTGGAAAGGTAGAATATTGTAGAACCAGATTCTGAAACGGCTGGTTTTTCTCCATTCTTTCGGGCTTTTGCTACCCGAGTTGTGAACCCAAAATCATGTGCATCGCCCAAACGGCTCCAGTTTCACCCAGCGCGGCTCGCCCGTAGAACCACAGTGACCGTCGGTGAGCACCGCTTTAAAAGTGACGTCTAGACTTTGGAGTTGCGGTTGAATAGCTGCTGTGGTGCCTGGAGATAGACAAGTTTATCTTAGTCTATTCATCCCTGCTATTTTGACGAAGACTTACTTTGTCATCTTTGTTGACAATCCCACGGTGGATATGAAGGAAAGGAAAGGGATTGCTCACTGGAATTTATGACAGCAGTAGCAGCAAAACATGGGAATACGCTGAGGCGTGACAGTTTCGAGCACATCATGCAGTGGCCGGGTAGCTCATAATTGTCCCAATAGAGACTCGCCAGTTTCTTATGATGTTCTGGGTATTTAAGAAATTTGATGGCTTCACAATCTGGAGGTCATAGTCCTAATGAAGAGTGCGTGGCTTTTGTACAATTTTCAGGAACGTCACAGTGGTTGGATATGGTCACCACGAAGAGTCATCCAATTTCTAAAAGTGGATACTGTGTGGTATTTGGGTTGAACATCACCAGGGATTCTTCCGTCCCATAGGTCGATCATTTTCAGGATTCTGCTTAGGTTGCGGGAGGCCAAAGACAACGCAGATCCCGAACTTGTGATCACCTTGATTGGGAACAAGGCTGATAAGGCGTGCCGCTTCGGGCGAGCGACGTAGCCATCTCGGGTCCCTGTTGCCACATGGCCGCCATGGTGGGCCAGGCCAGCGAACGAAAGGTGAGCTACGAGGAAGGTTTGCAGTTGGCGAGGCGGCAGGGCCTGAAGCTTAGTGTTTCTTCAAATCAGCGCGATGATGTTTGATGAGATGATTGTATATGGTAATGTAACAAGAGATGATCATGATAATGATGATAATAATGATGTTTGATGATGTTTGTCTGAGAATATGGCAATATGATGCAATAAATATGGTCCCCCCAAATTTGATTCACGGCGAAGCATCATTTTCTGTACCCAAGCCACGTCCGTGGCATGTTGGATGTTCTTTTTGGGGCACCAGTGACTTTGACACCCGACATGGCTTCAAAATGATCTGATACTTCTGAGGGCTCCGCTGCGAGAAACTAAGGCCTTCTTTTTCTTGAAACCTCCGCAGTGACCGGCCAATCCGTGGACGAGGCTCCAGGGGGCAGCTCCACAGATTGGCTCTGGTTCATAGAACTGATATGTCTGGTACCCCCAACCAGAAATAGCCATGGCTGTTTACCACCATGGCTATTTCTGATTCTTTGCAGTTCCAAGGTGGACAAGGTGGACATGTCATATGTTTCAAAATTATCAAAGCACCAAAAATGGATGGTCTTTACCATCTGGTGATTTAACATAGCCATGGAGAATCACCATTTTTAATAGGTAAACCCTCTATAAATGGGCCATTTTCCATGGCAATGTTAAATAACCAAAGGGTACCCCAAAGTTGAACAATGCTGGGAGCATCTGGGGGCTTCGCCGGGCCGAGGCATTTTTGTCGACCGCACGGCATGTGCTGATAAAGGAGGTGAAAAAACATCAGGTGCGACCGTGCAGGGTTCAAAGCTGGAAGGGACCAGCTAAAATTTGGAGGGCTTTGATCCATGAAAAGTCGGGGTTAGGGTTATTGGATGGGTATGGACATAAACGGGCACCTTGCGAACACCGCATGCACATCGGGAGTCACCATCAGTAGGTGGGTTTGTCTGATTTTGTCTGAAGTTTATGAGGAAAAACATCAGTTCCAATGGATGACTCAATTCCGCCGCACTAAAATGGCAATAAAAGGGTGGGTATCCCTAATTTCAGGTACCACACCCAAATCTATTCTTCATTGGTTGAACATGCTGAAGTTCCCATTTTTGATGCTTAATTCCTAGTTATCTGCCGTAATGACAGTAATGTAATTCAGCTAACTTCTACAGTATTCTCCGCAGGACGAGATGATGCAAGCGCAGAATCCCATGGTCACGCATGGCCAGGACGAACGGCCGATTTTGCCATGATTTTCATTGGATGTTTCCATCAACTTTCACGGAATCGGAGATCATGAACAGGAGCACATCATGAACAGGTCGCCTGTAGAAGTCCCCAGACGTTCCAGGACGGGTACGACTATCCAAGTCTGAGAAGTCATCATCCAGGACGGGGAAGCCTGGAGGAAGTCACACGCCTTAATAGCTGGATGGTTCTCGGTTTTCATGGAAAGTCACACCCCAAAAAATAGAGGATTTGGGGTAGCCTCATCACTTAGGAAACCTTGAGACATGAGTGTTTCTGTTTCCTGAGTAACATCACCATCACTCACTTGCGTCCTCCAGGAAATCAGTGGTTTAACTGGGGATCCCCAAGTTTCAGGGCCAGGTACCAACTTCGCCCATGAAACCATCAAAAGTGAACATTTTTTCTTGACCTCAAAGTGAGTCTGAAACACTTGAACTCTTTTGGAACATCACAAAACAGCACCTTGCGGCCAGTTCACACCAGGGGTACCGGTGACTCTCCAGGATACATGCAGACCCTCAAATTGACTCCTGGTGGTCCTATCCATTCAGGAGGCACGCGGGCCACGCGGGGTGGGTGAAGAGACCACTCCATGGGCTGCGGTGGTGCTGAATCTTCCTCCCTCCATATTCGCCCAGTCGTCATCCAATCAAGCCACTCTCACTGTTCCAAAACGTGGATTTGGCGGTCGCTTGCAGTCTCACACGCCATCATCAGATGCTTGGTCCCTGCTGTGACACGGCTCAAAAGAAGCAGCAACCAACATGTAACCATGGCAAATTCAATGTGGTCGCTACAAGCAAGGTAGTTGCTGCAAGTGATGGCCGTGTCAGTTCCCGAAACAGTCATGGAAGGTTCCCTTTCTTGGGTTGGGACAGCCATAAAAAGGGACCTTTGACAAACTTTGACCAGGACATAGCATCAATTTGGGCTGCCTGACGCTTTCGGACATAATGAGAGGTTTATAAACTTCCAACCGAATTCCTCTAGAAAAAAAAGTGAAAATTATAAACCACGTACCCAAGTTGACATAATTTGACTGGGAGCTGACAATAGAAGATACCTACGCCTTTAAGTGGGTTAACCACAAGGTCGTTTCTCAACCGGCAGCTGAAGTTTCACCGCGTGCACATGGCGGAGCCGGCTGAGTCGGCCGAGGTCTCCACCAGCCAACAGACCCTGTGGGTGAAGATTTATTGCATTTTATGTAGTTGTTGCCATTGAACCCAGAAGTTTCCCCCAGATCTTGGAGGATAGACATTTATGATCATTTATGACCTAATCATGCATGAAATTGATTTCTGGATCAAAATGGAGTTTGACACAGCACATGGAGGCTGGCGAGCGTCCCAAAAAGGAGGGTGAACTACACAGCCTGGCGTCATTTGGGTCCCAAACCATTTTCCTCTGTTCTCAACCCAGGCATGATGCTAACATGCAGCCTCGCGGAGTGCTAAAACGTGGAAATCCACTAGCAGAAGATAAAACACATTTGAATACATGTGAACATCATAAAAAGCCAGAAGGAGTGTTTTCCATGAACCCCTTCCTTTTTTTGCAATTTGCCCTTCCTGCTTCAACCCAGGACCATTCTCAAGTTTCGAACCATCAGAAACTGCGCATCTCATACACACCCCCGTGATGTTATTGATTTGGAAGAGGCACTGGAGGAAGAAGCAGGAGATATGTGGGGAGATGCCTCCATCATTGTGAAGTGTGCGAAGGAGATCCAGACACTACTGTGCACCCCATCTGCATGATATGCTGAAGTTGCAGAAGTGCCTCGGATACCCATGATTTGCGATGGGTGTTCTGAACCAATGGGCACGCCAAAGATGATTTGTTCAGGGCCTTTTTTTTCCGATCTGAACCGACAGTAGACAATGGTAGTGGTATATAGTGGTATGTAGTGTAGCAGTGTAATTAATGTACCTATACATGGTGTCAACCCCGGATTGTTTAACCCTTGTTTATATGGGTTTTATGATTATATAAACATAAGTAGGGATGGCACCCCCAAATAGTGACATATACTTTGCTATTAAAGTCGTACCTCCCTCCAATTACATAGTCCAGGGGTGCCTCAATCCGGGGTTCACATTCATTATTGCACTGCTAGTGTTTACAATTGTACGACGCGGCCTGCAAGTCTTTGCCCCTTCTTACCTTTGTGCTGAGCTATGCAGGGGTCTTGTTCTTGCTCTTGTTGCTGATCTTGCTGTTGTTGTTGTTGCTGCTGCTGCTGTTGCTGTTGCTGTTGCTGCTGTTGCTGTTACTGTTGCCGTTGCCGTTGCCGTTGCTGTTGTTGTTGTTGTTGTTGCTGCTGCTGTTGCTGTTGCTGTTGCTGTTGGTGTGGTTGTTGCTGTTGCTGTTGTTGTTGCTGTTGGTGTTGTCGTGGTTGTGGTTGTTGTGGTTGTTGTTGTTGATGATGTTGTTGTTGTCGTTGTCGTTGTCATTGTTGTTGTTGTTGTTGTTGTTGTTGTTGTTGTTGTTCTTGTAGTCGTTGTCGTTGTCGTTGTTGTTGCTGTTACTGTTACGTTGCTGTTGCTGTTGCTGTTGGTGTTGCTGTTGGTGTTGTTGTTGCTGTTGTTGCCGTGGCTGTTGTGGTTGTTGTGGTTGTTGTGGTTGTTGTGGTTGTTGTGGTTGTTGTGGTTGTTGTGGTTGTTGTGGTTGTTGTGGTTGTTGTGGTTATTGTGGTTGTTGTGTTGTTGTTGTTGTGTGTTGTGTGTTGTTGTTGTTGTTGTTGTTTGTTGACCACTTGGTGGAGGTTCCGATAATGTTCCCCGAACTGATGTTGGGTGCAGCCAGGACTTGTCGCATGGCAGCATCTTCGATGTCTTTGAAGCCGTTCGATCTTGCGCACATGACATGGCCAGAATGGAAGCGCAGCAGAACTGGGGACCAGCTTCGGGACAAATAATCTGCGCCATGCGACGAGTTGAGGAGATGCTGAAACCATTATTGCTGCTGGAAGAAGTGCGCAAAAGCTCCTTGCCAACAACCCGGCCTCGTCATCAAGGCCCTCATGTGCAAAGTGTCACAGATGAGTCATGGACACGAGGGCACCCAGAGGATTCAGACCTTCCGGAGGCGATTGTGGGAGGGAACCTGACAGCCGAATTGCAGAAACTGGAACAAGAACTGCTGGAGCAGCAGAACAAATACGGAAACAGAGTTCACCCTGACATTGCCGCAACACTGCATGAGCTGGGCGAAGTGAGCCGAGAGGCCGGAGATTTTCCAGAAGCAAAGCAGTATTTGGAGGAGTCCTTGCGAATGAATCGCTCCCTGCACGGTGATCGGGATCACCCCGACATTGCCGCAACACTGCACGCGCTGGGCGGAGTGAGCCGAGATGCCGGAGATCTTCCAGAAGCAAAGCAGTATTTGGAGGAGTCTTTGCGAATGAAGCGCTCCCTGCACGGTGATCGGGATCACCCCGACATTGCCGCAACACTGCACGCGCTGGGCACAGTGAGCCGAGATGCCGGAGATTTTCCGGAAGCAAAGCAGTATTTGGAGGAGTCCTTGCGAATGAATCGCTCCCTGCACGGTGATCGGGATCACCCTGACATTGCCGTAACACTGCATGCGCTGGGCGGAGTGAGCCAAGCTGCCGGAGATCTTCCAGAAGCAAAGCAGCATTTGGAGGAGTCTTTGCGAATAAAGCGCTCCCTGCACGGTGATCGGGATCACCCTGGCATTGCCGCAACACTGCATGCGCTGGGCGGAGTGAGCCGAGCTGCCGGAGATCTTCCAGAAGCAAAGCAGCATTTGGAGGAGTCTTTGCGAATGGAGCGCTCCCTGCACGGTGATCGGGATCACCCTGACATTGCCGTAACACTGCATGAGCTGGGCGGAGTGAGCCTGGATGCCGGAGATCTTCCAGAAGCAAAGCAGCATTTGGAGGAGTGCTTGCGAATGGAGCGCTCCGTACACGGTGATCGAGATCACCCTGACATTGCCACAACACTGCATGCGCTGGGCACAGTGAGCCGAGCTGCCGGAGATCTTCAAGAAGCAAAGCAGCATTTGGAGGAGTCCTTGCGAATGAATCGCTCCCTGCACGGTGATCGGGATCACCCTGACATTGCCGCAGCACTGCGTGCGCTGGGCACAGTGAGCCGAGCTGCCGGAGATCTTCCAGAAGCAAAGCAGTATTTGGATGTATTTGGAGGAGTCCTTGCGAATGAAGCGCTCCCTGCACGGTGATCGGGATCACCCTGGCATTGCCGCAACACTGCATGCGCTGGGCACAGTGAGCCAAGCTGCCGGAGATCTTCCAGAAGCAAAGCAGCATTTGGAGGAGTCCTTGCGAATGGAGCGCTCCCTGCACGGTGATCGGGATCACCCTGACATTGCCGTAACACTGCATGAGCTGGGCGGAGTGAGCCGAGCTGCCGGAGATCTTCCAGAAGCAAAGCAGTATTTGGAGGAGTCCTTGCGAATGAAGCGCTCCCTGCACGGTGATCGGGATCACCCTGGCATTGCCGCAACACTGCATGCGCTGGGCACAGTGAGCCAAGCTGCCGGAGATCTTCCAGAAGCAAAGCAGCATTTGGAGGAGTCCTTGCGAATGAATCGCTCAGTGCACGGTGATCGGGATCACCCAGACATGGCCGCAACATTGCATGCGCTGGGCGGAGTGAGCCGAGCTGCTGGAGATCTTCCAGAAGCAAAGCACAATTTGGAGGAGTCTTTGCAAATGAAGCGCTCCCTGCACGGTGATCGGGATCACCCTGACATTGCCGCAACACTGCATGCGCTGGGCAGAGTGAGCCAAGCTGCCGGAGATCTTCAAGAAGCAAAGCAGCATTTGGAGGAGTCCTTGCGAATGGATCGCTCCCTGTACGGTGATCAGGATCACCCTGGCATTGCCGTAACACTGCATGCGCTGGGCGGAGTGAGTCGAGATGCCGGAGATCTTCCAGAAGCAAAGCAGTATTTGGAGGAGTCCTTGCGAATGAATCGCTCCCTGCACGGTGATCGGGATCACCCTGACATTGCCGCAACACTGCATGAGCTGGGCGGAATGAGCCGAGATGCCGGAGATCTTCCAGAAGCAAAGCAGCATTTGGAGGAGTCCTTGCGAATGAAGCGCTCCCTGCACGGTGATCGGGATCACCCTGGCATTGCCGCAACACTGCATGAGCTGGGCACAGTGAGTGAAGCTGCCGGAGATCTGCCAGAAGCAAAGCAGCATTTGGAGGAGTCCTTGCGAATGGATCGCTCCCTGTACGGTGATCGGGATCACCCTGACATTGCCACAACACTGCATGCGCTGGGCGGAGTGAGCCTAGCTGCCGGAGATCTTCCAGAAGCAAAGCGGCACTTGGAGGAGTCTTTGCGAATGAAGCGCTCCCTGCACGGTGATCGGGATCACCCTGGCATTCCCACAACACTGCATGCGCTGGGCGGAGTGAGCCTAGCTGCCGGAGATCTTCCAGAAGCAAAGCAGTATTTGGAGGAGTCTTTGCGAATGAATCGCTCCCTGCACGGTGATCGGGATCACCCTGGCATTTCCGGAACACTGCATGTGCTGGGCGGAGTGATCCTCCAGAAGCAAAGCAGTATTTGAAGGAGTCTTTGCGAATGAAGCGCTCCCTGCATGGTGATCGGGATCACCCTGGCATTGCCGCAACACTGCATGCGCTGGGCGGAGTGAGTGAAGCTGCCGGAGATCTTCCAGAAACAAGATGAAACAAGTAGAATTTGGAGGAGTCTTTGCGAATGAAGCGCTCCCTGCACCGTGATCGGGATCACCCCAACATTGCCGCAACACTGCATGAGCTGGGCATAGTGAGCCGAGATGCCGGAGATCTTCCAGAAGCAAAGCTGCATTTGGAGGAGTCCTTCCGAATGGATCGCTCCCTGTACGGTGATCGGGATCACCCTGGCATTGCCGCAACACTGCATGCGCTGTGCGGAGTGAGTCAAGCTGCCGGAGATTTTCCAGAAGCAAAGTATATAGTATTATTTGGAGGAGTCTTTGCGAATGAAGCGCTCCCTGCACGGTGATCGGGATCACCCTGGCATTGCCGCAACACTGCATGCGCTGTGCGGAGTGAGTCAAGCTGCCGGAGATCTTCCAGAAGCAAAGTAGTATTTGGAGGAGTCTTTGCGAATGAAGTGCTCCCTGCACGGTGATCGGGATCACCCTGGCATTGCCACAACACTGCATGCGCTGTGCGGAGTGAGTCAAGCTGCCGGAGATCTTCCAGAAGCAAAGTAGTATTTGGAGGAGTCTTTGCGAATGAAGTGCTCCCTGCACGGTGATCGGGATCACCCTGGCATTGCCGCAACACTGCATGAGCTGTGCGGAGTGAGTCAAGCTGCCGGAGATCTTCCAGAAGCAAAGTAGTATTTGGAGGAGTCTTCGCGAATGAAGCGCTCCCTGCACGGTGATCGGGATCACCCTGGCATTGCTGCAACACTGCATGCGCTGTGCGGAGTGAGTCAAGCTGCCGGAGATCTTCCAGAAGCAAAGTAGTATTTGGAGGAGTCTTCGCGAATGAAGTGCTCCCTGCACGGTGATCGGGATCACCCTGGCATTGCCGCAACACTGCATGAGCTGTGCGGAGTGAGTCTCAAGCTTCTGGAGATCTTGCAGAAGCAAAGCAGTATTTGGAGGAGTCTTTGCGAATGAAGTGCTCCCTGCACGGTGATCGGGATCACCCTGGCATTGCTGCAACACTGCATGCGCTGTGCGGAGTGAGTCAAGCTGCCGGAGATCTTCCAGAAGCAAAGTAGTATTTGGAGGAGTCTTTGCGAATGAAGTGCTCCCTGCACGGTGATCGGGATCACCCTGGCATTGCCGCAACACTGCATGCGCTGTGCGGAGTGAGTCAAGCTGCCGGAGATCTTCCAGAAGCAAAGCAGTATTTGGAGGAGTCTTTGCGAATGAAGCGCTCCCTGCACGGTGATCGGGATCACCCTGGCATTGCCGCAACACTGCATGCGCTGTGCGGAGTGAGTCTCAAGCTTCTGGAGATCTTGCAGAAGCAAAGCAGTATTTGGAGGAGTCTTTGCGAATGAAGTGCTCCCTGCACGGTGATCGGGATCACCCTGGCATTGCTGCAACACTGCATGCGCTGTGCGGAGTGAGTCAAGCTGCCGGAGATCTTCCAGAAGCAAAGCAGTATTTGGAGGAGTCTTTGCGAATGAAGTGCTCCCTGCACGGTGATCGGGATCACCCTGGCATTGCCGCAACACTGCATGAGCTGTGCGGAGTGAGTCTCAAGCTTCTGGAGATCTTGCAGAAGCAAAGCAGTATTTGGAGGAGGTGTCCTCCCGCTTTGATCAAGATGATCGCTGCCAGACTACGCAATGGCTTTTTGAATTGACAGTTCTTGTTTGAACTAACTATCACAGACAAAATCAGGAATATATAAAATTAGGAAGGTTAATTTTTCGATAGTTTGACCTGCGGCCACCTTGTCATTTGAGCTGGGCTTGGCCATGCTTGGCCACAATTGTTCTAGCATATGCTGCAGCAATGCAATATGCCCTTCATATTTTGGTCCTTGGCAACCCCAGCAGCCACAGTCAAAGACACAAAAGGCATTCGTCAACCAAGAGGAAAAACTCGTTACGGTTGGTGAATGGGTGCAATTCCATACCTGAAGTGTTTGCTGAAGCATATTGCTGTCGATGCATCTCTTGAAAAACATACTTTGCGCCCCCTTTCAAAAGGAGTATCGCTGGTTTGTTTCAGGCAATATGTCCACTCTCACCGTCAACAAGGACATTTTCCCAATGCTGGGACGATCTGAGCGTAAATATATAGGCAGCCCCAAAGATTTTGGCGCCAAAATGAGCAGGTTACTAGAAACATCTAGAAACTAAAAACATCTAGACACATCAAAAACAATAAAAAACGAGGTAAAGCACTGTACTAGAAGAACGAGAAACTAGGCAAAAAACATGTGTATATATATAATATATATATGTATATATTATATTATATGTATCATGCATATAAGAGCATATTTTTTCCAGTACTAAAGATGCAACAAAAGCAGCGAGTCCTGCAGGTGCTCCGCCTCCCTCAGACTCTTGCTGTGGATGAGGCTGAGACTCGACTGGTTCTTGGGACAATTAGCCTGTTGGTAAACAAACATAGCTATGAACAATCACCATTTTCAGTAGGTAAATCAACCAACTAAATTGCAATTTTCAATAGCTATGTTAGTTTACCAGGGGGTATGGGACAATTGTCTGACAATTATGTCTTCAAATTCATGATTTGTTCTGAAATTTATGTGATAACCATGGAAACCATGGAAAACTGCGAGAATCCACTGGTTCATCATCATTTTCCTGATGAAAGTTGCCATAAGTCTTGGTTTCTGCCCCATTCTTGGAGAAATATGTTGGATCTCCAAGTCAGCAGTAGTGGTATCACAAGTCTCAACAGCGCAGGTCGAGAGATCTAATTCAAGTGCTCCATGCTGCGGATTTCGACTTTCTGAGTTTTCCAAGCGTGGCATCTGCCGATTTTCAGGCCCAGGAACACTAGAAATGACCATCCTGGATATGAGCCCAACTATTTGGGGGTTTCCTAAAATGGGGGGGTACCCCCAAATCATCCATTTTAACAGGATTTTCCAATATAAAGCATCCATTTTGGGTACCCCCATTTTAGGAAACCCCCATTTGTTGCTGATGGGCCAGTCCTTCAAGGACGTGTCAGAGATTCGTATGACGCGCTTGGTGCATAGCTAGTGTGCATAGTCCTGCACAGACCTTTCCTTCAAACGGGAAGGACACAAAAAAGACCTGACGTGGGAAGTGTTGGATGGGTTCCGGAAGTCTGCAGATGGTTAGTAGCTGGGGTATATCCTGGTGGATCCCAGTAAAGGGGGTTATAACATTTGCAATCCACTTAAGCACTTAGCAAATGAATGATCCAGGATAGTGCCATCCCCTTTTCTCGGGATTGGTTCAATCTTCACTATGTTTTCATCTCTTTCTGAATCTTGCAAGGAGAAGGGTTGCAGGATCACAACCTTGGAAACTGGCGAGGCGTTTTTTTGTTGACACCTGTAACACCAGCACCATGATAAGATTTGTTTGGGACACTTCGAATGTAACTCCTGCAGAGAATCTCGGCCCAGTCGTGGGGAGGGTCCACGACCAAAAAGCGCAGAAGAGAGGCCTTGGGGGCTGATTTGCTACATGATCTTTACTATTTTCGCAGCCTGGTTGCTGTCACAGACCATGTCTGCGATGTTGATCTATTGCATGCTATTGTATCAAAAGTCAGCGGCAAGCTGACACGTAGAAGCTAGCTACGCATAAAGCCAACGAAAGAAGTTCCAAGGGCAATCTTTGAGGAAAGTCCATGAAAGACCAGGTCGGGTAGGAAAGTGTCTGAGACCGTGGGTGATCATTCGTGTTTTTGATGTGAATATGTGATTATTCAGATACATACAGGTAAGTAGCTACCCAATTCACAAACCAGCTAAATAAATGGATAAACAACTGACTACATAAATACATACATACATACATTCATACATACATACAGACAGACAGACAAACAGACAGACAAACATACCTACGTATCCATACATACCTACGTATACATACATACCTACGTATACATACATACCTACGTATACATACATACCTACGTATACATACATACCTACGTATACATACATACCTACGTATACATACATACCTACGTATACATACATACCTACGTATACATACATACCGATACATACATACATACATACATACCATCCATCATATACATACCATACATACATACATACATACATACATACATACATACATACATACATACATACATACATACATACATACATACATACATACATACATACATACATACATACATACATACATATATACATACACACATACATACATACATAAAGACAGACAGACAGACAGACATACATACATACATACATAGATACATACAGGCAGACAGACAGACAAACATACATACACACCTACCTACCTACATACATACCAACGTATACATACATACATACCAACGTATACATACATACATACCAACGTATACATACATACATACCAACGTATACATACATACATACCAACGTATACATACATACATACCAACGTATACATACATACATACCTACCTACATACATACATACATACATGCATACATACATACATACAAACATACAAGCATACAAACATACAAACATACATACAAACATACAAACAAACATACATACATACACACATACACATTATACACATACACACATACACACATACACATACACACATACACATACACACATACACATACACATACACGCATACACATACACACATACACATACACATACACATACATACACATACACACACATACATACACATACATACACATACATACACATACATATACATACATATACATACATATACATACATATACATACATATACATACATATACATACATATACATACATATACATACATATACATACATATACACACATAGACATACATAGACATAAATATACATACATATACATACATATACATACACACATACATACACATACATACACATACATACACATATACATACACATATACATACACATATACATACACATATACATACACATATACATACACATATACATACACATACACATACACACATACATACACATATACATACACATATACATACACATATATATATACACATACACACACATATACATACACATATACATACACATATACATACACATATACATACACATATACATACACATATACATACACATATACATACACATACATACACACATATACATACATTTATATATACATACATTTAGATATACATACATTTAGATATACATACATACATACATACATACATACATAGATACATACATACATACATACATACACACATACATACATACATACATACATACATGTATACATGTATACATATGTATACATGTATACATATGTATACATGTACGTACATAAGTAAATATATATATATATGTATATACATACTTGTGTATACATATATATATATATATACACATCTACTGTATACATATCGGGAGGTAATACTTACTGACAAGTGGTGAATTCTGTAGCTCCACTAATTTGGTCAGGGCGGGGCAAGACGACCATGGCGATGCGCGCAGTGATGTGTGAAGCTGAACTGAAACGAAACAACTGGGGTGGAAGCTGAAACGCTGTGGGACTTGATAGATGGATAGGATAGGATAGGATAGGATAGGAATATGACTATGATGGCTTTGTCACTTGGGTTGTGACCATCCATCCTGTGTAAATCTACTTTTATTTTCTTGTATTTACGTCGTGTACAAACCTACAAACATGCAATAAGAGACGTAGAGTGTGGTAAATCCAATGCCATACACCATCCTAATAGCCAACCATAAGGGGGGGTCGTTCTACTTCATCCCAGAGAATTTCGAATTTTGTCCACCTCAAGAAACTGTGAAAAGGGTACAACAAAAAGGATATGGTTGGACACTGGGGTATACCCTCCATTTGGGCCACTTTAATGGGAGAAATGATGACAAACCATCAAAGTACCTGAGGTAGCCTAGTCCCAGACAAAGCCAAACGGGGAACATGTTTCACTATAAAATCATCCCATATTACATAATATGTTATCCCGTAAGAATGCCTATGTTATCCCAGAAAAATGCGCCACAATAACCTCTGTTATCCCAATAGATACTACCGAAACATCCACAGAGGTCATTGTTCTGGCGCCTGGTGCGTCAGGTCGCGAATGGCAACACAAGGGCTGCGAAGTACTCTGACTCGGCCTGGGACCTAGCGCAAGGATCGACGGGATAACTTGGGTATTGAGGTTGAATACTAAAAGCTGCGGATTTTACCAACATAATGAACAACAGTATGAAAAAAACTGTTGGGTTATGTTGGGTATGATTCTTCCACAATGATCAATCTTAAAAAATGGATAGTTGAATACAAACAAATGATGGGTCTTGTTGGTCCATTGGTAAATTCTGGACGCTTCAAATCCTCAGTCCATGGCCCAGGTGCCGACTCTGTGGTCTCAGGGAGAGCTGTTTTTTTCCAAGGTACCCAAAAGATCCCAAAAGTAACATTTTACCATCGGATTTGGGGGTAGCCTATTTTCAAAATCATATACTACTAAGGCTACTAAGATATACCCTCTGGTAATGACTAACAGTTTGCGAACTTGAAAATGGCAATTTATAGTGGATTTACCCATTGAAAATAGTTTACCAGAGGGTATCTATACTAGTGTTTAGTATCACTATGGATCGAAACTTCTACGTCCCTGAGGTCACCCTTGACCTTCAAGCCAATGCAGCCGCGATGCAATCTGACGACTTTGACGCGCCCCACCTGGAGGTACGGCCTGAAATCAGCCAGAGGATCTCCCAAAGATCATCTGGGGCTTTCCATAAATGGTGCTACCGAGTGCTACCCCCTTTTCGCTGGGATGGTTTTCATGGAAAATCCCAGCCCAAAAAATGGATGACTGGGGGTAGCCCCCATGACGAAACGGAAACCTCCATGTTTTTAATGTATTGGATGAGTCAACGCGGTGCTTTTCTGGGTGATTTTTCTAGATTCAACCGGACAGTTTTTCAGCAGCAGGACATTGTTCATTGTATCTTGATTTATAGCACCCCAGGAAAAGATAGAACCAGTCAAATTTGAAACTATTTTAGAACAGGACTTTAGAGTTGTATATCTATTTGTTATTTTTTGATTTTTAGCCGCTTGATCCGCTTGTTAGTTTACTACTGTACTGGTAATATCCCAGTAATATCCCAGTAATATCCCATATAGTCATATAGTCATATATATTCTATTTCCCAGTAGTATCCCAGCAATAACTATGACTATGACTACTGTAGTAAACCCAATAACAAACCATCTCCAAAATCATAAATGGGTGGTCTAAACCATTACCAAACGTTAGGACTATAGTGGGGTTTACAGCATTATAACTACAACTATGACACTATGACACTATGACACTATGACACTATGACACTATGACACTATGACACTATGACTATACGGGGGGCTTCTTAAAGTGGGGGATACCCAAGTCACCATGGGTTTCAATACTAAGTCATGGCCATCGATGACGACTGGATGATTTGGGATACCCCCATGACTTCGGAAACCTCCATATAGTTGGATATAGTTGGATACAAACCAGAACTATTAAGTGTAACAACTAGCTATGACTATTAACTACAACTATTAAACTATCAACTAGTGACTATCAATTCCAACCACTATGGAACTATTATGGTACTATTAGCCATAACTATTACCCTCTGGTTATTTAACATAGCCATGGAAAATGGCCCATTTATAGATGGTTTACCTATTAAACATGGTGATTTTCCATGGCAAACTGTTAAATAACCAGATGGTAACTATAGATATTTGTTAACTACAACTCTCAGTTCCGTTTCGGACCAGGCCTGAGGTGCGTGCGGCCACTGCTCTAATCCGACCGCGCGAGGAGAAGGTCCCCGGAAAGGCCATGGCCGGAGACGGTGGAGCTGGGGGAGCCCCGGGGACCCCGAGGTCGATTCTCATCCTTTTCGCATTCGTAAGCTGGGTACCCTCTGGTAATTTAACATAGCTATTGAAAATGACCATTTATAGTGGATTTTCCCATTAAAAAAAATGGTGATTTTCCATAGCTATGTTAAATTACCAGAGGGTACAACTTGGGGAAAATCCTCATTTTTGGACAAACACGATCATTCACGATCAATTGTTTTATAGAATTCTATTTGAAATCTGTATATCACGAAAGGTAGCTCCAGAGGGGCTACCTTGAGTTTTACTTTACGAAGTAAAGGGGAGGGCGGCCAGCCCCGTTACCTGATTCTTCAGGAGATTGCTAGTCATTTTAGTACCCCCCCCCCCTCCACACCTCCCACGCACCCTAAGAGCAGACTCAAAATACTGTAATTTACAGTATTTTTGTTCTTTTCGGATCAAGAAACCACATTTTGCTACATGGTGAAACCTCCGTAAATACCAGTGTTTTTGCTAGGTGCTGGCCAAAAAACACTGTAAATACCGTGCTTTTTACTACCAGAGGCAAAAACATCGTAAATACTGTGGTTTTGGGCTTCCGACCCGCCAAAAACATCGGTATTTACGGTGTTTTTTGCTCCGAGAGTTGCAAAAACACGCGAAAACACCACCGATTTGACGATTTTCGGCCACTACGGAACCGAGCAAAAACGCTGCAGGGGTAACACCAACACCAACAACAACAACAACAACAACACCAACAGCAACAGCAACAACAACAACAACGACAACAACAACAACACCAACACAACACCACGCACAATGCACAACGCACAACGCACAACGCACAATGCACAACGCACAACGCACAACGCACAACGCACAACACACAACGCACAAAACACACAACACACACACACAACACACACAACACACACAACACACACAACAACACACAACAACACACAACAACACACACACAACCACACACAACAACACACACACACACAACAACACACAACAACACACAACAACACACAACAACACACAACAACACACAACAACACACAACAACACACAACAACACACAACAACACACAACAACACACAACAACACAACAACACACAACAACACACAACAACACACAACAACACACAACAACACACAACAACACACAACAACACACAACAACACACAACAACACACAACAACACACAACAACACACAACAACACACAAACACACAACAACACACAACAACACACAACAACACACAACAACACACAACAACACACAACAACACACAACAACACACAACAACACACAACAACACACAACAACACACAACAACACACAACAACACACAACAACACACAACAACACACAACAACACACAACAACACACAACAACACACAACACACACACACACACAACAACACCAACAACAACAACACACCAACAACAACACACAACAGCAACAACAACAACACCACACACAACAATAACACATCAACAACACACAACAACACACAACGCAACACACACACAACACACACAACACACACAACGCACAACACACAACACACAACACACAACACACACACACACACAACAACACAACACACACACAACACACACACAACAACACACAACAACAACACACAACAACACACAACAACACACAACACAACAACAACACACAACCACACACAACAACACAACACACACAACAACACACAACAACACACAACAACACACAACAACACACAACAACACACAACAACACACACAACACACAACGCAACAACGCAACAACAACACACAACAACACACAACAACACACAACAACACACACAACAACACAAACAACACACAACAACACACCACAACACACCACAACACACACAACAACACACAACAACACACAACAACACACAACAACACACAACAACACACAACAACACACCACAACACACAACAACACACCACAACACACCACAACACACCACAACCCACAACAACACACAACAACACACAACAACACACAACAACACACAACAACACACAACAACACACAACAACACACAACAACACACAACAACACACAACAACACACAACAACACACAACAACACACAACAACACACAACAACACACAACACCACACAACAACACACAACACCACACAACAACACACAACACACACAACACACACAACAACACACAACAACACACAACAACACACAACAACACACACACAACAACACTCAACAACACACAACAACACACAACAACACACAACAACAACACAACATCATCAACAACAACAACAACACCATCAACAGCAGCAGCAGCAACAACAGCAACAGCACACAGCACAACAACAACAACAACACGAACACGAACAACACCAACACCAACAACACGACCAACAACACCAACACCACCAACAAACCCAACCACACCAACAACACTAACAACACTAACAACACCAGAAACACTACCACCACCAACACCAACAACACCAATACCAACAACACCAACAACACCAACACCACCAGCACCACCAACACCACCAACACCACAACCACCACCACCAACCCCAACCACATCGCCGAAGCCTTTCAGTCGCTTTTACCAGACTCCCCTTCATATTTTTGGAAAGAAAATGGCCGCGTCGCTTTTACCAGACTCCACTTTATGTATTTTTCCCTCCCCTCTCCCCTTCATTTTTTCTTCGGTTCCTTTCTTGCTTACCTACCTTTCGTGTTCCCCCTCTCAAGTTTCTATGAATATCTATTAGCTGCAGATGTATCTATGTCTCTGTATGTATAACTTCATTTCCATCTCCATCTCTATCTCTCTCCCTACAGCCTGGTAATCCAGTGACACGACATGGTGGAGCGATCAAGTTAGTGAGCAATTTGAGGCGTAGCATCAAGTAAGTCAGAAAAATCGTATTTTCGCTGCTAAGAATAGATGTTCTTTCCCATCCTTACTTTGTTGAGCCCAACTTTTGAGAGTAAATCCCAATTTTTCATCAGTGAATCCAAAGTTTCCATGGGTAAATCCCAACTTTTTGCAGGTCAATGATGGTAAATCCCCAATTTTCCTGGTCCCAGTTCCGTTGCCAGGCAACTCCCCCCCGTGCCGTGAGCGGCCTGCGAACCATGTCCACCTGGCGTCTGCGGCCCTATGCTGCAGCAGGCACTAGAAGCCACTGGAAATGTGGTGTGAAAGGGGGTATCAAAGCAGCGAAATTTGGGAGATCATGTGAAGATATACTATTTACATCTATTTACATGAAATGTATAACCAACTGATATTTGGGCTTCACTGCGAATCACTACACGAAATATTCAGAGGTCGAGTTATGGGGATTTCAGCATCGCAGGGATCCCAAGAATGGATACATACATAGTGGATTAATAACCGGGAATGGCATGGCATGGTACCATAATATTGGAATGGCCATTCCCAAATATGGTAACCATAATAGTGGATTAACAACATATTACTGTATGGTATGGTAAACTGATTCAGTTGCAACCCCACCCCATGAGGAAGAGAACCACAGATGACGCCATGTCGACAGGAAATGAGGGGTCCCACATTTGGTGTTTGAGAAGGCAACGCTGCTGGCAACATAAATAGGTCTATCACTACAACACACACACACATATATATATATATATACATAATATATATATACACAGATATATACATATATATATATATACAGATTATATATATATACAGATATATACAGATATGTATAGATTTTGATTGATGTAGATACACACACACAATATATATATATATATACACATACACACATACACACATACACGTCTTGCACTATTCCATCCAAAGTTTGTCGCTCAAAACGTTTCAATTCTGGCACGCCAGGAGCTGCCGGCGCCGCAGTGCCTTTGACCTCCCTGAGCGCCGGCTACAGCAAGGTGGGACGGGGATGTTGGGACGGGTGAACACTCAAAACATGGGGAAAGCATGGTGTTTTAATTGAATATCATGGGGATATTATGGATAATGCGAATTGGATATTATTAAATTCATATATTATGGGGATGTGAATATTATTAATGATTTATATCAATATTGATTTTCATGTTATTGATGGAGTATTGGATACATGGATAGACACTCATGCTACTCATTGGATTGATATGATCCAATTATCCAATTACAGTATCCAATAGTAGGAACTGGAAATAACATTGAATTATTATAAGCCAGCATAAGTCAGACAGATTGATGGATGTTGATAATATTGGTTGATGATACTGTAGTTGGTAATAGTTTATTTATATGGATTTTTCTTAATGAATTATCAAGATAAATTTGATCATTACCTCACGTCGGGGCGGATTTCTGGAAGCATGAGTGAATTGGATAGATTATGATGGGTTGATTATTATTGATTATGATTGATGAATACCAATATGGGTGAATTGGTGAATTGATGTTTTGATGGGGTTGATTGATGGGTTTATGGATGTTGATTGGTGATATTTTTGTCCATTTTGATGAAGATCATGTATATGATGAAAAACATGCACTTGATAAAGTTTAGGAGTATGGGTTGATGGTGATGTTTGTAGGCATTTTGATGGATCATATGTGTCACCGGGAAAACCTTGGTCGGATTCACGGCCGGATGTTCTGCTACCTCTGGATCCATTCCCACAGAATTTTGGGGGTGTCCCACATCTCAAGAACTTTGTAGTTGTGGAGTCAGGTGTATTCGCGTTTTTCTTGGCTGTTGCTGATTTATATTTATACAGATGTTGGTTTCCCACCAGTTGGTTAGTCAATAAAGGGGTCTTTCGTTGAACTATCACTGGGTAAAGGATGGTACACAGTTTTCCCTAGCTAGCTAAGTTGGTGTATAACTAGTTCAAATTAGGGCAATATCTATAGTTGGATGTGGCAACACACATAACTGAGGGGCACCACAGTCATACTGAGTCATACTGTTGGCTGTATATCCCACTATGTCATATTCTATTCCAATGATGTTTGGTCATAAAGACAACCATATTATATATATATATATCCCATTCTAAACAATCATATTGTTGATGAGACACATATATATATATATAGATATTTATCCCGTTAGAAAATCACAGTTGATGATATATGGTACTTCATACCCATATAAACATGTTTTTATGATAGTTGATGATACAGTATGATACAGTATATGATATGATATATATATATACATACATATGTATATATATATATTCCAGTACATATCATATTTTATCCCCACTATGTTTTTTTTTTAATAAACTCATCAACGGCTTCCCCATTGCCATGCCCAGGTGGGCCTCTCATTGCTGGTGTTACCATGGAAGGCCCGTTCGGCCGATTTGGTGGTGCAACCAACATGGAGGTTTAACCAACAAGTCATAGGGAGATAATCAGAGATAATGGTATATATATACACACATTTTTTTTTTTTTAAATACACTTATCAAACAGTGGGATCTCATCATCAGACATGGTGAAACATTGGGATGTAGCCATATCAAATTGAGATTTAAACATATTGAAGCAATGAAATATGATGGATGTGGGTATGGCTGGATTCTTTTTTCACCGCAATTCATGAAAACAAATAATGGTACTAGTAAGATGATGATAAGCCATCAAACTTGGGTATACCCATTTTTAAGACACATTCAAATGGTGACATTTTCTCAAAATACATGGCAAGTGTTTGAGGTTCCTTGAACTAACTACCAACCCCTGTCGGGCTTTGTCTTTCTTGAGTAGCCCAAGTTGAAACCCTGGAGGGGTGTATTGGTTGCTTGCTGGTCTTCAATACGTTGAATTGGAATATGCAGCAACCAACTGGCCGTACTGTTTGGAAGAATATGGGAATGGGGTAAACTTGTTGGACGTGAAAATCCCCATCTTTTTTGCAGCTGAAATCTCCATGGTCGCCGAGGCACTGCCCATGGCCTTGGCGATCGCACCGACGGTGTGGGTCTTGCCAGCGGCCTATCGCATGATCTTTCAGAACTCCATGAGGTCGGTGATGGTCGGTGGATCTCTGGGTCCCGGCCTGGAGACGGGGGATCCACGCATGATGACAGAATCAGGGCTCCCCAATGAATTGAGGGCTCAAATTGATGGATCCCCAAATTCAGATACACCCACATTTCACTGGCTTAACTGGGGTGTGGGGATTCAGGCAGTTTTCAGCAGCTAAACTGGGGATATCTGGTAATTTGACCAACCACACTGCTCATATATATATATATATATGTATGTATATGTATATGTATATGTATATGTATAATCTTTTATACCCAAACAAACGATTGGTAGGGCTGTAGCGTGGTGGTGAGTGGGTTATATATTTGCTGCCATTAATGTGTTAGTTTCTTTCGCCCTCTTTCAGCTCTTGGCCTTGCACAACCACATGGAGACTGGTCAGGCATACGACCGCCTCGGTCTTCACGGTGATCTTATACCTGGTGCTATCCTTCATGCCGGTGCCATGCTGCTTGGCATGGAATGAAGCCAAACCCTCAATCCCCATGTCTCTCCTAGAAAAGAATGAGTTTTTTGGGGTAGTCGGGTAGTTTTTGGAAACACACAACTTTGATTTGCATGTTTTTCTTCCCTGCGGGGATCATTATTTGTCTTAGGATCAGAATGTGAAAAGAGGCACGTACTGCCACAATCGGGTTATATATGGCCTACAGAGTTGCAGGGACCACCTGGACCGCTGTGCAAAACGCGCGGCATGAGGAAGTATGGAGACTGAAAATGAGGTAGTCTCCCCAAATGGGTATGGGTCAATACCTATAGATACATTTTTAGTGGGATGAACATCCATTTACCAGCTATTTTGGGGTTCACTAGGTACCAGGGTTTTGACCCATCCCCAAATGACAATCTTAATTATTGGAATAAATGATGAAAACCACCAGTGGATTTAGGTGGTGGTTTTCCCATAATCTTCAAGTAGTTAGTGGGGGTTCCCTGAATTCAGGGCTCTACAGCTCGATCTCAGGCTTTGAGAATCTGTTCTCCGAACTGGCCTTCTATGGTATTGCCTTGGTCTCCACATTCTTCATGCCACTGGCCTCCAAGCAGCGCCGAATGCTGGAAATTGGGAACTCCCGTAGGTGATAGGATTCACTGCATTCTATCAGCCTCACTGGGGGCCCACTTACTTGCCTTTTTTGGTTTAACTATGTTTTTTTTTGGGGGTTGTGTACTTTTGAGCCGTTCACATGTCATGGTTGGATGTTGGCCCTGGTCTGATCCACAATTGACCTCCAGTTGAGGACGGTGATATTTTTTCATGGCCATTTTTTCATGGCGATTCCAAGGTACACCTTCTTCCCGGAGGTGCTGCTCCATGACTTTATGCTGCTCGGAGTTAGCGGCAATGGCTAAGAAGATTATGGTTGTCATTGGGACATGGAGGGAAGGGTGATGTTCAAATGGGACATTCACCCGTTAATAGTGGTTAAGAGTGGTTGATGATAGTTTTCATCGATCAACAGCTGATTTTTGGCCTAAAAACCAAGGTTTATGCACTACTTGGCCCTCTTCACCATCCCATTGATCCCCTTGGCCTTCGCTTACATGCCGATGTTTGCAGCCAGGAACGGGGGCTTCTCAGCAGGGGAGTCTTCTGGAAGTTTAGTTAGCGATGCTGGGGACGATCTTTTTGATGTAGACATAGCTGTTAGGGGATGTTAGGGGTGTATCAATCTCTCACGTTCTTTTTTCTTATTGTTTTTGATAAGGAATGATGTGGATTTAGCGGTTACTGCCAGAGTTGGTGCTGTCAAAGATAGGCTCATATCTCTCGGGACTTGGCTCAACCTCGTTTCAAAAATCCCAGTTGTGATGACAGGAGCTATCTATTCCTCTAGACGCGGTGACGACCGCTGAACTATCAGTGCAGAAAGGGACGGACATGCACGGACTGCAGGGACCCTCCTGAAATCTGCCAGCAACTAATGGACATGCATACAGATTTCAAGTAGATAAGTCAATCATCGCAGCAACAATAATTGCTTTGATGTTACGGCATACCAGGTGTAGCTTGCGCATGGATGCATCATTTTCACAGTAGTTGTGTTGCTTTTTCTTGTGCATTTATTTTTATTTTTTAAGTTGGCAGAAAACGCATCGCTTGGACCCGGAAGTTTTGCGCATCCGCGGAGGGTCAAAAAGAGTCTTTGACTCGAGCATTGACGACGATTACACAGTGGGAAGGCAGCAATGATGTATATATATATATATACACATATGTGCGGAGCAACCATTACATATCAGAATTCATAGCCAACACATAATCTTATCCTCCTAATATTCAATACCCCCCAAGCGCAACCCTAGTTTAGTATTGGATCTATTCATTTTCTGGAACCATATGGGGGGTATTTATCACCGGCAGCAATGCGATGTCAGGTGGCAAGGAACTGGTGGTTTCCTGCGGTTTGAACCAGAATATCGACCCTAAATTGAAAACATGGCAGGCGTGGCAGAAAATGAAGATAAACACGCTGTTCCATGGGGGACAGGGTCGCGCTGTCTACGTGTTTACATTGGACTGGGGCCAATCCTAATTTGTCTAGTACAAACATTCGGATATGGCCAATTCTGAGAAACTGTGTATCTTCTGGTACCCCATCAGCTGATCGCCATCAAATTTGAAGCGCATTTGCACAGCGATTTGAAGCTGCCTGCCGTGTCATGCTCAAGTCCTGCAGCGCAACCTATCAGGTAGATTATGTGGCCATTACAGCCTGCAGTGATGATTCAAAATGGTTTGGGATGCTTGGGATCTAGCCGGTAGATTTGGGTACCACGCTTTTTCTTATTCACTTCCAAAAAAACTGGCGGCCAGTGGCGTGGATTTTTCCTGGGGGTGCTCCCTCTCAAAGCCATGGCTTCAAGCAGCGCAGGCGCCGTGGAATGGCTCACTGGCTGACCAACTGGAATGTACCGTAATGTACCCCTAATCTATTGGTCTACGGATTATCACTTCATCATGTGGTAGTAGGATATAATGAAGAATATTACCTAAACCCATTACCTTAAATGGTAATAGTAAGATACAATTGGTAATGTACCCCTAATCTATTGGTGATACAATGAAGAATTGGATCACTTGGTAAACCTCCAATTTGGAATTCTTTTTCCATTCCGGGCAAGTTCTTGGGGATGCCAGGGGCGACGGTGAACCGGGAGGACTTTGAGGACGGTGTTCCTGCATCCCCAGAATCCGTAGCTTTTCCTAGCCATGAATGGCACGTAGATGTGTAAACTCCCCAAAGTAAACATGGACCCCCCTTTTTTAAATTGGGTTTTGGACAATTTGCAAGATGATCTCTGCACTTGGATATGGCTATCTTGGATTCCATGTTGAATTTTCGGGCTGACTCCATCCACCATTTTTCTGAAGGATGTTTTCCTGCTAGCATCAACTTTAGTCATGAGATATGCCAGATTTCTACCAGTTCGCAGGTGAATCCATTCATTTTGGGTTGCCTATTGGGGCTATTTCATACTATATAACCTAATTTTTATTGGAAATTGATAGAATACCGAGGTATATTTTGTTTCCAAGAATCCATGAGGCCACATATTCACCGTATATCATTTAGGTTTACGGTCTACTCGGTCTACTCACCCAGTGTCAATTGCATATTCGTAAACCTGCACATGTGCCGTAAATTTGCCGCGCCTGTTATAAGTTGATTCTGAAACCCATTAACCTATATATACATATACGCATTATAAACCTCAGGTAACCAACTTAGCTGTCATAAATCAACTATAAATATCCCCATTGTTACTTGGATTAAATCCCATGTTTTCATAAGTTGTCCCTGATTGTTTCACCATTTTTCTCAACGAAAAAACCCATGACATCACCATTTTTTGATGGTGAAACGGCTGCAGGAGCCGGGACGGCCCAAGCAGATTGGCGACTTCAAGGTCCAACGGATCCTGGGCGTCTGGGGGCCGAGCAGCCGTGCAACATCCGTGGAGAACTGGTTGGTGGGTTGGCACATCTTTGATGACCAGAGGGTAAATGGTGCAACTATGGTTACTAACCAGTTTAATGCCACAATTTTGAATGACTTTCAGTTGGGAATGGAATAACCATCCCAACTGACGAACTCCATCATTTTTCAGAGGGGTAGGTATACCACCAACCGGAGAATAGTCATAGGATAATATGGTCATATATGGATTTTAGCTCGAACGGTCTGCTTGCTGGCACGGCAGGGCAGTGCGGGTGAGGGTGGAGTCACTTGTACAACCTTAGGAAAAAGCTGCGCAATTTGTTGCAAGGCAAACTGAACAGGCCTCAGCAACGCATATATGGACTTTAATATACTTTATTGGAATTTATTTGAATTTACTGGATTTTATTGGATTTGAGGATCATCATATTAAGAAATGGAAACGTTGGAAAATTGGATATTGGATACCCTCTGCTGTCATCAAACGTGGCTGGAAAATACCCTATAAAGGGTGTTTCAATGGAACAATTGTCCAGCAAGCCATGTTTGATTACCATAAGGCAATACAATGATGTACCGTTATGGATTAATTTGGATGATATTTTCTTAAATTGGTATAATCCCTCATATCTATCTTCATATAAATATTGATTTTGAATATTGATAATTGGTAATACCAAGTATATATTGAGATAATATAATGATACCAATATATATATATATTGTATTAGAATAATGACCATTGTATAGTTGGACAATACAACTTAAGACTTAGATAATGTGGTGGATTGAAATTCATTCGCAATTTTTCCAATTGTCCTGGTCAGAATTACCAACTGGAAGTCATGGTTGACAATCAACATGAGTTTGATCATGACCTCACGTCGTGATGTGACCGGAATGATAGTTTTAGGAAAATCTTGGGCCTGCAAACATTGGAAATTCCAAAATAATTATTTTGTCATTTTTTTTGCATTTTTGTTGCATTTTTTTGGCATTTGGGTTTGTCATTTTGGATTTGTGGTGTCATTTTTTATCATTTTTTTGTCATTTTTTTGTCATTTGTTTGTCATTTTATTGTCATTTTATTGTCATTTTGGGAACGGGAAAATGGAGAAAAACAAATGTTAAAAAATGACTACCATGACAGACCTTTTGTTATCTCGTGGCAGCACCAAATACAAGGAACAAGTGCAGAAACTCTTGGAAAGCCAGCGTGAAGAAGGATAGGGCAGGGGAGCTTGCCCTGGGGAATTCGTTTTTGGGCCTGCCTGGACGAGGAGTTGTCTCCCGGCTCGGGGTGCAGGGCCGGCTCAAAAACCGGGTGCGGGGTGAAATGGCCCGGGGGGGCGGCTCAGGCCCGAGAAGCGGGGCCGACCTGGAAACTCCAAAAACGCAACTTTACCAGCACGCGAGTCATTTTTTTTGCATTTTTTTCGCATTTTTTTTGCATTTTTTTTTGCATTTTTTTTGCATTTTTTTGCATTTTTTTTACATTTTTTTTTGCATTTCCCAGACTAGGAGTCATTTTTTTTGCATTTTTTTTGCATTTCCCAGACTGGGAGTCATTTTTTTGGCATGTTTTTTGCATTTCCCAAACCGGCAGTCATTTTTTGCATTTTTTTGCATTTCCTTCACCGGGTTTGCCACCTTCACCGCTTGCCTGATCCTTATGAGAAAACGACAAGAAAATGAACAATGCTAGAAAGTAGAAAACGACAAGAAAACAACAAAAAATGACAAGAAAATGACAAAAAATGACTTAACAAATGACAAACAAATGACTTAACAAATGACAAAAAAATGACACCACAAAACAGGAATGACAGAAAAATGCAAAACCAAATGACAAAAAAATGACAAAAACATGACAAAAATAAATAACCAACAACCCTCAGAGTTTGCTGGTAAGATTTTCATAATGATAGTTTTTAGATAGGGGAATCATCCCCAAATGGCGGTATGATAAAACAACGATTTTCAGGGTAGTGAATTAGCATAGTTCAGCCCGATGATCATCTACGTTTCACATATCCTCTGGTGATTTGACTGCCAAACATGGTCGTAGAATGGGATATTAATGGACATATAATTGGAAACAGTGGCATGGTAAACCCTATGAAACTGGTCATTTCCCATAGCTATATGATACATACATATATAACCATATATATATATATATATCTAGAGATAGTGGTTGCCCTCATCAAGAGGTATATGAATGGTATATATAATTAGTATATGATATACCATCTGTTAATTTAACTGTTTACTGTGGAAAATTGCCCATTTAGTTCGATGGTGTACCCATTGAAAATGGTGATATTGCACAGCAAACTGCTACACCAGCAGAGGGTATCATTTGTTTTTGTCCTGTATAGAAATCTTTTTCCATCTACATCCATATCAATATGCATCGCTCTTTCTCTTTCTCCGTATTTTTTTTTCTCTCTCTCTCTCTATCTCTGTACAGATATATACATGCATCACGCGCACACAACATGAATACACTTGGATTAGACATGTACTACTTTCATATACACATTATTTCATATACATACACGTACGCACAGTGTATATATATAAATAGTTATATATTATGATCTTATATATTCATCTATGTGTTTTCAAAACGCATACATATTTGCGCGTACATATGATACACATATCATCCATAGACTCCATACAATGTTGGTTGGAAAACCCTGGCGAAACTGTGCCGGGAATCCCTTTGCAGCTCGGTACAGGTCCAGCTCAGTTGGGGGTCTGAAATTTGACCCAACCCCAAAACCATCCAAAACCAATTTGTTGTTAGTGATTGACCCCTATGTTTTTCATAAATGTGTGTTCTCAATTCCCAATTTTGGTGGGCTGAATCAACAGCTTTTTTTGAGCTGCGAAGACTGGAATCCCTTGGCGACAAGGTCTGGAAGGCAGATCACATCCTCTGCAAGCGCTGTGGTCAGGCTCTGGGAGCGACCTGGACAGAGTGGAACTCCCAAGAAGTGGCTGGAAATCATTGAAGATGTACCTCAGTACACAAGACATCACAAGACTCAGCAGATTTGGGGAACATCGAAGTTTAAGATCTCAACAAAGATACACAGCCAGTCACTCAGTCACCCCATCTCCCCTCCATGGAGCGGCAGATGTTCGACTACGGAGATATCTCGGGACCCGAGCTGGTTTGCAGCGGCTGCGGTTTCCGGCAATCCTTTGACCCCGAGGTGGGCAGTTAGTGCCTTGCTGTTGGGAGATAGACGGCTGGATTGAACAGCTTTCCAAACTAGCTAATGTCAACCCTGGATTAATAAACCCCGTTTACGGCTGTTTAATTGGGGTGGATATCATTTATATCTCATTGGCTGTGACTATTTGGAGGGTACCCCCACAATTAATAAACCATGGTGGATCATTTTCCTGAACCAGTGGGTTGGGGGTGATTCCTTGATATTGAATGGCTGTACATGGACCTATGGCTATAGGCTAGATAGACTGGAAATTTTAGAAATTTTATAAGCACCCTCCAGGAAAGTAAACATGGCCAGGGAAAACCCGACATTATGACATTTACATCTGTTCCTGCAAGGATTTAGAAGTGGGAATCAATAAGTTTCCTTTTCATGCAAGGATTTAGCAGAGGGTATCCTCTGGTAAACATACAAAAAGCTATTGAAAATGGCAATTTATAGTGAGTTTTCCCATTAAACATGGTGATTTTCTATAGTTATGTTAGTTTACCAGAGGGTACCTGAAATGTGCCCTGATGGCTGGCGATCTTCGCCAGAAGCCCCTCTCTTCCGTGGCCACGATCTACGAGAGGGCCGGGATACTCTGCGGCGGTGCTGGTGACCCCCTGAAATGGATTTGTATGGCAAGGAGCCTCTGGTAAACTAACATAACTATGGAAAATCACAATTTTTAATGGGTAAATCCACTACAAATGACCATTTTCAATAGCTATGTTAAATTACCAGAGGGTAGCCTCTAGCAATCAAACGTAGCAATGGAAATCATCTATAAATGGTTGATTTTCCAGGAAGCCATGTTTGATGACTGGAGGGTTTGGGAAAACACAAGAATCTCATGCTTGAAAACCTGACTGCCCACATTTTCGGATTGCAAAATATGGCTGATTTTTGCGCAGCATCTGCTTGCACTGATATTTTGACTCAGTATCCCACTTCAAGGTGTCATTCTTGCTGATTAAATCAAGTAAATCTCCATGTTTGTTGGTTAGCTATAGAAAATTACACAGTGTTATACATAGTTATAGCAAGTACGACCAGGAAAATCCAATGGTGACCTGCAGAATTTGGGTAGGCGAAACCGCCCTGGTGGAGCACCACCGCGGAGGCGGGAAGCTGACCTGGGCGACTCCGGTGACGTACGTTAGGATATGTTGGTTGAATGTCAACCCCTGAAAAAAACCACAGGCTGTGAAATTACGATCTACTACTGCTTTAGTATTTATTGGTAAATATGGTCTACTATGTTTTGGCAATTCTACAAATTATGATCTACTGATGTGCTATTTTTATTTATGGTCTACGATTTTTTGGCCAAAAAAACATGTCTGGTGAATGGACTCATCGTTGGCCTTCAAGAATCAGCCACCCTGTGCAGCATGGCAGATGGCTTCTTTCTACACCATTGGCCGAAGCACCAACCAATTACCCGTGAAAGGTCACATATCCCTGTTTAGTGGCTTCCAACTCAGGTTGCAGATCCCTTTCTGGATGTTTCTGGGAGGTTACACCCTTCCACAGTGGACCTGTGGCTCTGTTGGGTTCCAACGAGAGGACCCACATTTTCAGGGTTCCATGTTTCGTTATTGACACTCTCTAAAGCAACCTTGTCAATGGACAACCAGCATTTAGACGGTATTTTCTGATCAAAAATTGACGTTTCCCTTTGCCGAATTCTTTACCAGAAAATCAGGATTCGCGATTTTCAATCATTTTGAGGACCCAAATTTTAGGGTTCCTTGTGTCCGTGTGTCAATTGGGTCTGCTTAATTATAAATTTGCCTCAAATCCACTCATCGCATCATGTTTCCTATTGAAATGACCGTTCTCATGGTTTTCCAACCCCCCCGCCCACTAGGACAAACTCATTTCCATTATTCACAGGTGAAATCCCAATTTTTGATGGTTAAATACTCATCCTTGCGCCAGGTGGACTTTGAGATGGAGGATGAGGCAGTTTGGCGGAAACTGGGGTGTAAATCCAACCAGTTTTGGGAAACAAAATGCAGCCCATCAAAAATGGAGGTGGAAGCAGTCCAAGTGGGCATATGACCTAGTTAACCAACAAACATATGGAAGTACTCAACACAAATGGGTACACGATATACGGGGCGAACTTCCCCACCATCCCATAACATTATTACCTTGAAATTAATGAAATAGGGTATGCGAGATCTTGGAATACAATTAGGTATACCAGCTGTATTATCAATGACAGTTGGGTTCCCCATAAACTGATACTGAAATTTGCGGCCAATGGGATTTTTTGCAGTTTTCCTGCAGTTTCAGCACAGACGAATCCAAATTTGGTAGATTCATAGGAGTTGAAAAGGGCCTCCAATTTTTAACCCATGACCTTGGTGCAAAATTGCAGTGCAAGATGCAAGATTCGCTCCATTTGTGCCCCATTTGTGAGCTATGCCTATGGAATCACCAAACAGGATTCAATCATGCGCAAATCAGAAGGTCTGCCACCGTCGCTTCATTTTCCCAACAGAAACTAGATGAAATTTTATCAACCATCGATTTCAGTTGACCACCATAGGTTTTAACGTCTAGCCAAAACAAAGGAGGATCTCACCATTTTTGGGGGGAGGGGGGTACAGGGTGTTTTTCTGAAACCAGCTGGGAGATGGTAGGTCACTGAACACCCGGAGATTGACCAAGAATGCCCCAGTGGGGAGACCCAGTTGGATGGAGTGGCTGATATCCAGCAGACCTTTTCGACCTGGGCTGGGCCAAATTGTGAGGTCATTTCAAGTAATGCCAACTCCAATCCCAACCAACTCCAATCAGCCCCCCAGTTCTGGATGGTTCTCCCAGTTATGTTGGGCAAATCCTTAAGCCTTATTTTTCAACATGGTTCAAACACCATGTTTGCAGGTTACATTTAAAAACATGGATCACTCTTCGAGATTGTCTTCAGTAAGCCCAACATATCCTGGGTTCAGGCTGCGGCCACGACAAGTTGCAGTTTTGGACGCGGCAGTTGCGTTCGGCCGACGAGGGGCTCAGCGTGTTCTTTCTTTGCAAGGAAACTCAGTGCTCGGAGACCACATTGGGGAGGATAACCTTCATGGATCATGGATGATCATGGTGAAAATGATGATCAACTGATAAACCATGGTATTTTAGGACTTTGGTACCAAACATAGTTTGAGATAGATGATTTCTCTGGAACTATCAAGGTAGGTATCTTTGGAAATTGCAGGATGGTTTAGTGCCATGTCGCCAGGCAAGAAGTGTGGCTGGCGGACGGTGGAGAAATGAGGTGGTAAAAAGAGTGCGTGTGCATCAAGGGCAAGGGCAGGGAGACGCACTTGCTTAGACTGGGGGTTTGGCGTACTCTCCAGACCAACAGTTTGCTGTGGAAAACGTTTATCATATTTGTTAGGTCATGAAAATTGAACTCAATGGGCCATTTTCCATCGCTATGTTACATTACCAGAGGGTATTCAGGTTTCCGGTGTCCCTGTTGCTGTACCTCAGTGCCCAGTATCAGCTACCGGTCCGCTGCATCAGACCTCAAGATTTCTATCCAACGAGTTGGAAAACCACAGATCAAACCTGGGACTTTTGGGATGGCACCGATGCTTGAACTCAATGGGCCAGCTACAGCTGCTACAGCCGGAAGATCGCCCACGGTGGCGATCTTCAATGTGGCAATGATTGGACATGTGAATCCAGCCTTTGCTCTGGTCCAGGATACGCATTGCGGGGTGTCACCGTTCTTGCTGTGGCAAGAGGGAAATGAGTGATCTACAATGGCCGACCCCTAAATTTTGGTACCACTGGATGTGCAAATCTGGTAATCTATAGAATTACATGGTACAGGTAAGTCATAGTCACATTGTTTTGATATGTTTTGGTGCATTGCCGCATTGCCACAGTTGTCAGAGGGTCAAAGACCAAGTTGCTATATAGAGTAATCCCTACACTTTGCAAAGATCCAAGCTCGCTAATCTTTCAGAATTCCGTCCCCACGGAAACAGGACCAAGATGCGACTTCAAATCCAACTATAATTGACCATAATGTACTATTTTTGTCTGTTTTGAATGAGTTTCCTTTTTATAAAATTGAATGACATGTGTGAATTAAGGCACATTACGGATATATTACGGGTATTTAAACGGGTATTGACGGGTAATTTGCAGATGACCCCACATATTTTAGGGGGTAAATTAAAAAATCTGCTAAAAGAGTTGTTGGACAGGTTTTCTGACAATGTCAACCCTGGATTCATAAACCCCTAGGCTGTTCAATTTGGGGGGGGGTACCAATTAAGTATCATAGTTTCACCCTTTGGAGGGTACGTCGGCATGCCCATAATTGAAAAACCACGGGTTATTTAGACATCCTTCCAGAAATTATAAGGTAAAATTTAAAAGAGGCCAATTGGTACCAAAGTGAATTCTTGACTTTGGACGGCGATAAGTTACATACCCGGGAAAGGACGAAACAATAGAGAAAGGCAACTTCAAATGAAAAGAGCAAGATGAAGCATACAGAACAGAACAATATCATATGATATCATATAATTATAACATTTCGATAGATCAATTGTATAATCATAATGCATGCTGTTTTCCCTTTCTTGAAGCCACTGTCAACTTAGATGACTTGTTGCGGGTTCACTCTCGCAGCTTCGAATATGTCTCGGAACAATTAAAGGATCCCAAAATGATTGTTTTATATATCCACACTCCAGACAGTAGTTATAGGGGCCCATATCTCAACTTTAGAGGTGCAAATTCTCATGGGAAAATATACCCCAAGTGCACCTCTTTGCGACCCCAATGGCTTGCCATCAGGAGCTAGTCAGGAGAGGTTGCCGTGTTCACTACTTCCTGCCAGCTGTTGAGCAGATCTGTTCAGCTGCCAAGGAAGAATTGAGTCAAAACGTCTGTTGGTTGATGATCACAGCCATTTAAGTCGGGATTTTAAACATCAAAATTTTGGGACACAAGGGGATATACTTGATAAATGATGCTTGATCAAAGGGTTCTAGACTCCTTTCCAGGAATCCATAAACTGGGACATCCGTTCTTAACCAACATGAAGAGACGACAGAGCCGCACCAGGAGTCAGGTGCCGAGGTGGAGAGCTACCTTCCTGACATGCCAGATCTGGTGCTGGAGCACTGTGGCATCGAGGCCATTCTTACGTGTCGTGTCAAGGTGAGAAAACGGAGACAACGAAAAACAAAAAAAGGCAAGATACCATCTGGTTATTTAACATTAACCATTAACCATGAACTACCAATTGGTAACCATTGGTAACCATTAACCATTAACCATTGTACAACCACTGATAACCATTAACATCCATTAACCATTGGGAATGCCATAAATGTTCCAATGTAAAATTAGTAAAGAACTCATGGATCCGCGACGGCTTTGCCCGGAGGTTTCCTCATGGAAGGAGCGTTCTTAGACAGTGTTTTCCTATGTTTTCCTAGGGAAACCCATGGTTTTAGGATCATTTCAAGTGATGTTTAATATTTCAAAGAGGGAAACCAGTGGGGTCCGCCATCTTCAGGAGCCACATGAGGAGATTCTTCCAGATGAACAAGCCCTGTGGGAACGCGCAGCTGCTCGGAAGCTTCAGACGTTGCACATACTGTGGATGAGATTTCCTGTCGAGTTCAATGGCTTTCACTTTTTGTTGACATTTAGTGAAGATGATTGGTAGTTCAATCTATTGCATCTCCAGCAATAGTTCAATAATTGGTAGTTCAATGGCCCTTCATTGATGATTCTGATGGCTCCGAATTTCAATCGCATCTCCACGAAAAAAGGCTAGTTGGACCTGCAAGGACCAGCGGCACCGACCTGTCAACGACTCATCCCAGGGTTGTTTGAAGAGTCTAATACGCCCATTTCATTGAGATTCATCCCATGGTCCCATGGTCTTGTCATTTACCCTCTGGTAATTTAACGTAGCTATTGAAAATGGCCATTTATAGTGGATTTTCCCATTAATAATGGTGGTTTTCCATAGCTACGTTAAATTTCCAGAGGGTATCCTATTTTCCCACTGTTTAACGTGTAGGAAATCCGGAGGTAGACGACAGGCTTGCTCCAACGAAATCATTCTCCAATATTCTCCATGTTTTTGATAGCCATGAAATGTAGGCCAATGGGCCAATCCCCTGTTTTGAGACATAATCATAATCATATTCTATCCATTGTTCATTGGTTAACTCCTTATTTTCGAGGTGTAAATCCTCATCTTCACAGGTGAAATACCCGTTTTGGGTTGGTGAAAACCCTAATCTTGATGCTTGGATCATGTGAAATCACCATGTTTGGCAGGTCAAGTACCACTTTTTGATTGTTGAGCCCTCAACTTTTGATGGTGAACTCCCTAATACGTATACATACATATATATATATATTAATTATATGTCTATATCGTGTCAAATCACCATTTCTGGCTGAGTCCATAACCAGGTATGGCCACTGGCCAGCACCCTGCTGTGTGGTGAGTACCTCATCCAGCGCTGCCGTGCGCTGGGCGTCTCAGTGGTGTTGTACGATCCCATGACGCCCCATGGCCTCCTGGTGGCGCAGAAGTTAAACCTTCCCAAGGCATGGGATGGTGAAAAAAACACTGTTAAATAAGGATTTAATTAGGTAATATACTACTGATGTATATATATATATATACATACATAATTATATATATATATGGTCACCGCCTGCTCTAGGGCCTACCTTTTGATGTCTCACTGAAATAACTTCACTTAAATGATACCAGTAGTACCGCACAAGGCGGTGGCGGAAGTTTCAAAAACAGGAAACCGATAGGAGAGGTTGGTTGTGGTGAATCAGGGATGGCAGAGCGAAGCCACTGATGGATCGAAAGGTGATTGATCTCTCTCACTCTCTCTCACTCTTTCTCTCTCTTTCTCTGACTACCTATCTGTCTATCTATTTATCTATCTATATATCTATCTAGCTATCTATCTATCTAGCTAGCTATCTATCTATCTGTCTATCTGTCTGTCTGTCTACCTGTCTAACTGTCTATCTGTCTATCTATCTATCTGTCTATCTGTCTACCTGTCTATCTGTGGTGCAGTGTCATTCAGTGTAGTGTAATGTAGTAGAGTGGAGTGGAGTGGAGTGGAGTGTAGTGGAAGGTAGCGGAAGGTAGTGGAAGGTAGTGTAGTGTAGTGCAGTGTAGTGGAATGTAGTGTAGTGGAAGGTAGCGGAATGTAGTGTAGTGTAGTGTAATTGAGTGTAGTGTAGTGGAGTGTAGTGGAATGTAGTGTAGTGTAGTTGTAATGTAGTGGAGTGTAGTGTAATGTAGTGTAATTGAGTGTAATTGAGTGCAGTGTAGTGTAGTGGAGTGTAGTGTAGTGGAATGTAGTGTAGTGTAGTTGTAATGTAGTGGAGTGTAGTGTAATGTAGTGGTGGTTGTAGTTGAAAATGCTACAAAACCCCGTGAGTTTTGCTCACTTTTGACAAGGTCCACAATCCCTTGTGCCTGCCACGGGAAACGACATCTGAACCTCCAAAAATGGTCCGTACATGGTGTGTTTTGTACATTTTGACTTGGAAATGTGCTTTGCACCACAACGGCGTGCACTTTTTCGACATCTGAACCTCCAAAAATGGTCCGAGAATGGTGTGTTTTGTACATTTTGACTTGGAAATGTGCTTCGTGCCACAACGGCGTGCGCTTTTTCGACATCTGAGCTTCCAAAGTGGTCCGAGAATGGTGTGTTTTGTACATTTTGACTTGGAAATGTGCTTCGCGCCACAACGACGTGCACTTTTTCGACATCTGAACTTCCAAAAGTGGTCCGAGAATGGTGTGTTTTGCACATTTTGACTTGGAAATGTGTTTCGCGCCACAACGGCGTGCACTTTTTTGACATCTCAACTGCGAAAAGTGGTCCGCACCCCTAGTGTTTTGTGCATTTTGACTTGGAAATGTGCTTCGCGCCACAACGGCGTGCATTTTCCATCTCTCATCTGCCCAGCTGGCTCCGCACCCGCCGCTTTAGCGAGCCTACTTTTCGACCCTCCGGAGCCCCAAATCATTGGAAAAACACGGTGTTTCGCGACTTTCCTACCTTTTCTCGCATCTGCATCTTCTTTCTTCTTACTCTTTCTCTTCTACTCTTCTTTCTTCTAATCTTTCTCTTCTCTCTGCCTCTTCCCTGCTCTGATTTTCATCTGTCCATATTGTCGGAAGTTTGACTTCTAAACTTCCTTCGACCAGTCAATAGATGCCGCTATGCAAAAAAACACTGTAAAATATAGTACAAAATGGCATATTGAAGATCTATACAATAAATGTAATCTGAAGGAGTAAAATATTGCAATAACACACATAATTAGAGAGTGCCCTGTATTTTTTCGTTCGCATGAAATTGTCACCAGGCGTCCCTGGTGACCTACCCGGGCATGGGCAGCCTAGCAGATTTGATGAAGATCGGCTGCTGCGGGCTGCAAAGATCCGGGCGCCCTACGGACGCCAGGTGGGGGCTGGTTGGTTGGTGGATGCCATGCCTGGTTGGTTGGTTGTGGGATGGGGTTGGGGTTGGGGGATGGGGGATGGGGGTTGATGATTTTGGAAACTGATTTTCATCATGACTGGATGACCAGATTCTGAGAGTTGCAGCTACCGCGAGGTCTATGAAAAGTTTGGAGTCGACTTGGAAGTGGAGCTACTCACGAGAAGGCACTGGGTGGACGCATATGCCATGGCCTTCAACAAGACCTAAAACTGGGAGCACAATGGCATAGATGAATATAGATGAGACGTTGAAACAGCATGGAACAAACCTGTTCAAACTTTTCGTTACAACCACAGCTTTTGGTCAACATTTTACAGGGTTTTGTTAAAACATGAATTTGGATCCCACTAAAGCAGCCAACCCCCATTCCCTATCCCCAGGCAATACTTCGCCCCCGTGAACTTCATCACCACCTGCGATGCCCTGGTGGCGCCCTTACCGGATGCCCCTTGGGCCATGGAGCTGTCGCAACGCTTTCGTTTCGAGCCCGTGGGGTGCCTCGTCTCCCCGCAGGCGCCCCACGTGGCGCAGGCGCGAAGCGCCGCCTCGAAGGTGCCGAAAGTGCTGAAGGATGGCTTGCCGGTGGAGGAGTTGACTCACGAGTGGCTTGGATGCCTTGGAAATTGGGGGATTTTGGAGATCTGATTTATTTGGTGGTAAGTTGAAGTTTGAAGGACATTTTAAAGTGCTTTTTTGGATGTGTTTTTTTGAGTCTGAAGTTGAAGTTTTCATGTTTTGGGCAGAGAGTTTTGACGCATGAGATGCATTGAGGAGGTGAGCATGCTATGATCTTTGTAGGGATTACTGTAATATGAGAAGAGAAGCGCAATTTTTCCTTTTGAACTAGATGCTTTTGGTTGACTTCCTAACTGGTTGCATCCCAGAAATTGGATCTCCTCCATTTTTCTCGGAATTGGTTGAACGATAATTTTCAGGAACCAACTTTTTCCCAACATGAATCCACTGATTTGCCATATCCTGTCATTTGTCAATAAAATCACCATTTTGTTAGGGTAAATCCGATTCCCAGCGTCCTAAGTTTTGATGGTTAGATCCCTAATTTTCCTGATTCAAGCAGTGAACTCCCCATTTTTGCCAATGTTAGTGCCAATGTTTGAGGGTTTAGGCACCATTTTGATTGTTAGTTAACCATAGTTAACTCATTTTTGATGAAAATCCATCATCTTCCCTGGGATTTTTGATGAAAATCCCCGGGTGCCAGGCTGGCTGCCGGGCACAAGATCATCTTCGCAGCCCTTGGCACGATGGCCCTGTCGGATCGCTGGAGCATCGATTCGGGCCGCGCCTCGGGTGGCAATCTGCCGCCGGGCACCACAGGGAAGGAGTACTGCCAACACGTTTGGAGAGCGGCTCGGACGTGACATTCTTGGGACCCCAAGTGTTAAGGGAAATCATCCCCAAATGGCCGAATCGTTCAGGTTAGTGAAATATTTTGATTTACCCAAATTCTTGGAAGTTCTGGGGAGTTTTTTTTTTGGAGTCTTTGGGAGTTTTTCAGTTACAGGAACTGGGGAGATGGAAGGTGTAGCCAGTTTAGCAACAATCAACTGGTTGGTGGCTCCGATTTGGGATTTTCTGGGTATGGGGGGATGCTCATACCATTTTTTCCAGAACTATATTTTGGTCTGAAAATCAGGAATGACCAAGACACATTCAGACACCTGTTTGGTATTTTCTAGTGGTTGAGGGAATCCCCGCATGAAGCATATGGGCGGTCAAATTGGATTGAATGTGTATATATATATACATACTTTTTGACATATGAAATATGTTTCGGATCATGGTATGACTATCTTGAATGAAAACATCGAGTTATACAACCATGAAAAGATTCAACCACAAACACGTGGTAATTCATCAAGATTTGCCCAGTCAGCTATTGGGTCTTGGGGTATTCAATCAACAAGGGACAATAACCATACCTTGTCAGTCACTCAATAGAATGATCAGCCCGTAGTCCGGAGAAATACCCATTCTGGAGTAGAGAGACTGTCAAATTGGACGTATGGCGAAAGTGGTGCACATTCCATACTGTGTGTATATATATATACATATATATATACATATATATATATATATACACATATATATATACATATCTATGTATATATATATATATACACACACTCCAGGATGCTTGAGCATTTTGGGAGTCTCTAAATATGAGGGATCCGGATAGCCCAAGCCGAGTCACGTCTCGAAGTCATGGGACGTTGGAGATCTGGAGATCGAGGAACCTCTCGATGTTTCCACCATTTTGCCATCATCATTTTCAACATATATGGCATATGAGCCATTAAACATACCATAAAATACCCCTGTCCCATCCCATGAAAAAACGGGTCCTTTAATAGATTCGAAGAAATATCCCGATTTGGCTTATCTGAATCTCCAATAAACTAGGAAGTATAAGCCACTTTCATAACCAACAATGGCATTTTGAATGGCTCATATGGCGCTGTGAAAACCACCCCCAAGCAGCTCATTTTGTCAAGGCGTTGCTCGAAGCCATGGAACTGCTGGGGGAAGAGTACTATTGTGTACTTTGCGCTGGCAAACAGCGACCTGGTTTGATGATCCAAAGGGATCCCAAAGGGTTCACCTGTGTACCTTTGGCTTTTCACCCGTATGTGGAGATATCTCAGAAAGGTTTCCAACTGTTGTTTCGGATCACCGGCAACACATACATAATCCTACACGCATGATGAAATGTGTATATGTATATATATATATGTATATGTATATATGTATCCCAAATCCAAATCTAAGTCTAAATCTGTCTTTGCGAATTCACCGCACTTCGCAAGGTCCGATGCCCTCGACTTCCTGGAGAGTGAAGACGCTTTGCCATCCAATGTGATTGTGCGAACCTGCGTGCCGTGACGCGGTTTCAACGCGCTTGGGTGGTTCAAAAAATGGTCGTTAAAGTGGCTAAAAAGTGGTGAGTTAACCCACACATTTTTTTTTCTTGGATTTAAACCACACTTTACTGTTTCATTGAGAAGTTCCAGTGATCTAAACGATGCATGCAAATAATGCATTGGCAGTGATGTATAGTGCCATTTTTTCAATCTGGCAACATGTAGCAGAAACCCTTCTTCTTGCATGAACAAGAATTTTGTTCCTTGATCCGAGCGTGTCCAGAGGCAAGTGGAGATGCTTAACGACTACGCCAGCTGTTTCTTGTCGCACGTGGGTTTCAACAGTTTGCAGGAAAGCCTCATGGCAGGCCAGGACCGTCCACGGGGACTTTTTCAATCGGCAAACAGTTGGATTTCACGCACTGTCAGAAGTCCGATTTTTCAGAAGAAAAACGTGGATTTATCTAGCAACAAATTGGGAAATTTAAGTGTCAGACAGTGTGATTGAACCCACAACGATGGGGGTTCAACAAGCAGAATGGCCACAGTATATCTTTGTGCACAAATATGGGATAGAAATTGGAGATGAATGCATGAATAATCCAACGAAAATGGGGGAGACCCCTTTGGTCCTTTCACCAGTGGAAGATTAAAATCATTATAATATATATAGATATATACAGTAATTATATATATATATATGTATTCAAGCACTCAAAAGATAGCAATTTGTGGATCCAATGTATGTATTTGGACCTGCTTTGGTTTTGATTGTGATGTGTGCTGGCGCAGGCGTTCCTCTGGTGGCAGTGCCGCAGGCAGTAGACCAACCCGCCAACGCCATGAAAGTGCAGTGGGGAAGCTCAGGGGGGTCGAAGGCACCAAGGATGATTTGGCTTGGAACAACAAAAATGGGGATTTAACCAATGAAAAAATCATCGTGATGATGATGATGATGATGATGATGCATAGTTTTTTTTGTGGGAAGCTCGAGGATGTGAAGCAACACTAACTTTGGGAGTTGGCCTGCGAACGACGGAAATGACGCTTGCACATCTTGGGCTGTGCTACCGAGGTTAATAAGAATCATGGATGAACATGAAGCTGCCCCGATTTTGCTTGCTTGACATCCCACTTGAAAAGCAATCAATATTATTTCATTTACTGTATCACCATAGGGATTACATGTTTTGTTTGGTTTTGTTCCGTTTTGGCTGCTTCACATCCATATTTTTATGGATCCAACAATCCTGGCATTGTTGTGTTGTGTCCCCAAACACGAGTGCTCCGTCAAAAAAACAGTCACCTTTTTTGTCCAACTGCTCTGTGTTGTTGACCCATTCTTCCCAATTTCCCCCATGTTTCCTTCATTTGTCTTTTAGATTTCAGACCTCAATGCCCCGAGGTATGTCAAACTAGTTAATGGGGGGGTAAGCCAACAAACATCCGTGGGTTAACTGCTTAGTAACTGGATTATATCCATTTATCCCCGCACAAAAAAAAGACTTATAGCCCAGTGGTAGGGTAAATATCACATAATCTATAATCCACTTTCACCAAACTGCAGTTTTCCTGAATATATTCCAGATGTTTCCATGTTTCCTCCATTTTTCCTTGGTGTTGGACCTTTCACCAGGAAGATGTCCTGGGGCGTCTCCTTCCTTCGTCCCATGGCGAGCGTCACCAGCACCGCCTTGGCGGTGGCCTTGGAGGACGTTCTCCAGGTGCGGAACCGGCGCTTCCGCGCCGCGGTGCAGGCGGCGCAGCGGGACCTGGCCGGCGGCGTGCAGCGCTTGGCGGAAGAAGTGCTGGAGTTGTGACAGGCGGATGGGTGGAATGATGGAAGGTATGTTGGGAACCGCAAACTAGATATATATAGGTATCATAAGTTGTAACTATGTATATATATGTATGTATGTATGTATGGATGGATGGATGGATGGATGGATGGATGTATGTATGTATGTATGTATGTAAGGTAAGGTAAGGTAAGGTAAGGTAAGGTAATGTAATGTAATGTATTAATGTAATGTATTAATGTAATGTATTAATGTAATGTAATGTAATGTAATGCAATGTAATGTAATGTAATGTATGTATGTATGTATATTATTGGATATATGTTGTGAAGTATTTTCAGTACGGATATCTATATATGATCTATGGATGTCATCTACACAGTCTGAAAATTATATATAGGAATTATGGGTTTATACATGGCTATATATATATACATGCATGGAGGATATTTGAGTTATTATGATTAGGATAGATGATTTACAAACCAAAATAGCGGGGAATATCACACTCCATTGGGGACTATCACAGTTATATGGGATACATGTTGGGAACTATAAACTATGGAGATGATAATCATAATTGGGGATATAGTGATAGCCATCTCATGATAGTTACCCATATCCAAATATCCATCTATATGTACGACCTATTGTAGGATATATATATATATATATGTGTTTAATATTGTAGGATATATATATATATATATATGTGTTTAATATATATATATACATATACACACACTTGTATATAGTTATATAGTAATCCTGAAGTAAAAAACACAAGTTTCTTAACACCGTTTCCATTTTTATAATGTGTTTTTTCAAATTTCCATATTCTATGTACTCCAGGATGACGATATATATATATATATGTATAATATCCATAGTCATATCCAGATATCTGATTATATATAGTATATATATATATCCATAGATGATATAGATGATATAATGATGGAAGTTATATGGATAATGGGGACAGCTATGATGATCATGAGTAGATAGATAGTTTATAGTTCCCGACATATATATATTGTTGTGTTTGCATGAGCAGTGTTCAAAACCCCAGTTGGGTGATGATTAGTTCGGGGATTTACCAACCAAAATTCTGGGGAATATCACACTCCATTGCTGTAAAAGGGACGACAGGGGGTTTTGAACACTACTCATATGAGATGGTTATAAACATGCCAATCATTTTACCAAAACTACAACCATGCAATCATATAATATGGATGTGATCTATAATAGGTAAATCGTAAATCTCGAAAGGTAGCGGTGAGCTACCTGAGTTCCCCCTTGCGTAGCAAGTATTAGGGGGCGAGCGGTGCAAGTGCAAGAGTTTGGGCCGGTTATGTCTCGGTCCGCCTTTCAAGGGGGGCCCCCCCCCCCCCACCCTTCGATTCCCCCCAGGTCCGCCTCTAAAGCCGGGTTTGCAACATAGGCGGACTACAAGGAAACGCCAACAGCCGCACATGCACTTTCATCCACCACGTTTACATACATCCCCACCCCAACCGAAGTCAAGACCCGCACTGAAACTCGACAATGTCAGATTGCTCAAGAACTTTGTTTCGTTCACCCTAACAACCGCGATGAACAATGTCGTAGCAAGAACGTTGCGACGGACTGCGTTGCAGTAGTCTCAAAAATCGCACATGATATACCAGTAGTACCGCACAAGGCGGTGGCGGAAGTTTCAAAAATAGGAAACCTATAGGAGAGATTGGTTGTTGTGAATCAGAGATGGCAGAGCGAAGCCACTGCTGGACTGAAAGGCGATTGATCTCTCTCACTCTTGTCTACCTGTCTATCTATCTATCTATCATATCTATCCATCTATCTATCTATCTATCTATCCATCTATCCATCTATCCATCTATCCATCTATCCATCTATCCATCTATCCATCTATCCATCTATCCATCTATCCATCTATTTCTCTATCTATCTATCTATCGATCTATCGATCTATCGATCTATCGATCTATCGATCTATCGATCTATCGATCTATCGATCTATCGATCTATCCCTCTATCCCTCTATCCCTCTATCTATCTATCTATCTATCTTTCTATCTTTCTATCTATCTATCTATCTATCTATCATATCTATCCTATCTATCCTATCTATCCTATCTATCATATCTATCCTATCTATCCTATCTATCCTATCTATCATATCTATCATATCTATCATATCTATCATATCTATCATATCTATCATATCTATCATATCTATCATATCTATCTTATCTATCTTATCTATCTTATCTATCTATCTATCTATCTATCTTTCTATCTATCTATCTATCATATCTATCATATCTATCATATCTATCATATCTATCATATCTATCATATCTATCATATCTATCATATCTATCTATCTATCTATCTGTCTATCTATCTTTCTTTCTTTCTTTCTTATCTATCTATCTGTCTAGCTGTCTACCTGTCTATCTTTTGTGCAGTGTCATTCAGTGTAATGTAGTGTAGTGTAATGTAGTGTAATGTAGTGGAGTGTAGTTGTAGTTGTAGGTGGTAGTGGAGTGTAGTGTAGAGTAGTGTCGTGAAGTGTAGCGGCAGGTAGTGTAGTGTAGTGTAATGTAGTGTAGTGTAGTGGAGTCTAGTGTAGTGTAATGTAGTGTAGTGTAAGGTAGTGTATTGTAGTGGAGTGTAGTTGTGTAGTTTTAGTTGTAGTGTTGTGGAGTGTAGTGTAGTGTAAGGTAGTGTAGTGTAGTTTAATGTTGTGTAGTGGAGTGTAGTGGAGTGTAGTTGGGTAGGTGTAGTTGTATTTGTAGTGTAGTGGAGTGTAGTTGGGTAGGTGTAGTTGTATTTGTAGTGTAGTGGAGTGTAGTGTAGTGTAATGTAGTGAAGTGTAGTGTAGAGAGTGTAGTGCAGTGTAATTTAGTGTAGTGGACTGTAGTGGACTGTAGTTGTGTAGTTGTAGTTGTAACCTGTAGTGTTGTGAAGTGTAGTGTAATGTAATGTAGTGTAATGTAGTGTAGTGCAGCAAAGTGTAGTGTCATGTAGTGTAGTCGAGTTAAGCGAAGCAACATCTGAACCGCCAAAAGTGGTCCGAAACCCTAGTGTTTTTAACATGTTAACTTCCAAATCTGCTTCGCGCCACAACGGCGTGCACTTGTTCGAAACTCGACATCTCAGCCTCCAAAAGTGGTCCGAACATGGTGTGGTTTGTACATTTTGACTTCGAAATGTGCTTCGCGCCACAGCGGCGTGCACTTTTTCGAAACTCGACCTCTGAGCCTCCAAAAGTGGTTCGAACGCCTGGTGTTTTGCACATTTTGACTTCGAAATGTGCTTCGTGCCACAACGGCGTGCACTTTTTCGAAACTCGACCTCTGAGCCTCCAAAAGTGGTCCGAACCCCTAGTGTTTTTAACATTTTGACTTGGAAATGTGCTTCGCGCTACAACGGCGTGCACTTTTTCGACATCTTAAGTGCCAAAAGTGGTCCGCACTTGGTGTGTTTTCTACATTTTGACTTGGACATGTGCTTCGCGCCACAACGGTGTGCACTTTTTCGACATCGCAACTTCCAAAAGTGGTCAGACCCTGGTGTGTTTTGTACATTTTGACTTGGGGATGTGCTTCGCGCCACAACGGCGTGCACTTTTTCGACATCTGAAGCGCCAAAAGTGGTCCGATCCTCTGGTATTTTGTGCATTTTGACTTGGAAATGTGCTTCGCGCCACAACGGCGTGCAATTTTTCATGTCTCATCTCCCCATATGTCTCCGCACCCGCCGCTTTAGCGAGCCTACTTTTCGACCCTCCGGAACCACAAATCATTGGAAAAAACACAGTGAATCGCGACTTTCCTACCTTTTCGCGCATCTGCATCTTCTTTCTTCTGACTCTTTCTCTTCTGAACTTTCTCTTCTCTCTGCCTCTGCCCTGCTCTGCTTTTCATCTGTCCATATTGTCGGAAGTTTAGCTTCTCAACTTCCTCCGACAATATAGTTAAAGATATGTATCTATATATATATACACATAATAATTCCATGATATATATATTAAGGGGCTACGCCCCCTGCCGCCGACCCCAGGCAGGGTAGCTTGGGGCGGCGAGCGGGGGGCGGTAAACTGCTAAATACTCGTCTAGCTGATTTACCTTGTTCTGTTTTTTCTATCCAATCTTTTGGAGATCCCTAAATTTATATAATTTGCCGCCTGTGACGCGTCTCCCTGAAGCACTGGCCAGACTCAACCTGAGGCACCAGGGCCAAGTGGCCAAGAATAGAGACTTCACACCCGCAGCCCCTACTGCCAAACGTTGCTTTCTGAACTCCCTAGAAACTAGCTCCAAACTTGGACTTTGCCCGCCCTTCATCGGCCACCTGCCAGCTTGCTTGTCTTCTCTTGGCGGACCCTGTCGCAGCACCAAAACACCATGGCAGCGAAGGACGGATCGGGCCCGCGGCCGGCAGCCCATGGTGCCAAACGTTGCTTTCTGAACTCCCGAGAAACTAGCTCCAAACTTGGACTTTGCCCGCCCTTCATCGGCCACCTGCCAGCTTGCTTGTCTTCTCTTGGCGGGCCCTGTCGCAGCACCAAAACACCATGGCAGCGAAGGACGGATCGGGCCCGCGGCCGGCAGCCCATGGTGCCAAACGTTGCTTTCTGAACTCCCTAGAACCTAGAAACTAGCTTCAAACTTGGACTTTGCCCGCCCTTCATCGGCCACCTGCCAGCTTGCTTCTCTTCTCTTGGCGGACCCTGTCGCACCACCAAAACACCATGGCAGCGAAGGACGGATCGGGCCCGCGGCCGGCAGCCCATGGTGCCAAACGTTGCTTTCTGAACTCCCGAGAAACTAGCTCAAAACTTGACTTTGCCCGCCCTTCATCGGCCACCTGCCCAGCTGCTTGTCTTCTCTGGAGGACCGTGTCGGAGCACCAAAACACCATGACAGCGAAGACAGATCGGGCCCGCGGCCGGCAGCCCATGGTTCCAAACGTTGCTTTCTGAACTCCCTAGAAACTAGCTCCAAACT